TAAAGGGTACATTTAGTCAAACTCTACTCAAACGATTGAATTTGGGAAAACGGACTTCAAAAACGGGTCCGGGACGTCGAATTACCCTAAGAAGGTCTGAGGGTTTTCGGGAAAAGGAAAGGGAGAGAGTTAGGGTGCTGCCACTTGGCAGTTTAGGAGAGAAAGACAATTTAGATGAACGGCTAGGATTTTGTTAGGATAAGGGGTAAAAGTGAAAAGTAAGCAAAATTTTAGGAAGAAGAAAAATTTACCTCAAACTTCCGGGTTGGGGTGTTTCAATCTACCACCCTTATAAAAAAATTTCGTCCTCGAAATTTAAAATAACATACTACACTGAAAATACTCGAGAATAGGAAGAAGAAAAATATACATATATGTAACGAAGAGATCAGGTAAGAGTGGTTACACAGAAAGGAAAATGCCACGCCGTCGCGATCGGCTGCAATGATTCCATCTTTCGTGTCCCCAGGCTCATACTTTCTTTCCCCCATCAGTGTAAAAATATAGAAAACATACTTTAATAAAATATAAGGTCGAAGACACAAATAATTTAAGGCCAGATAACGCCAAAATATATAAGTAATAACATATAATTCAAAAACTCAAATCAACTTAAAAATGAAAACAGAAATACTTTTCCAAAAACATTTGTAACATCAAAACAATTAACTAGAGTAAAGGGAGTTCAAAATACTTATACTGAAAACCAAAACTGCAAAATGGAAGTGGGTCTCGCCCAAGAATTCGAGATGTCACGTACTCCGAAAATAGATGTGTTTCTGGGTCGAGTCCCAAGAATAACAATTCTGAATCTGCATCAGCTGCTGTAGACGAATCTTCTTGCCCACTTGCTTAACGAACCCAACAAATAAGCTATCGATACAACGGTCTGCAGCCCGCAATATCGACCTCACATTTGTTGTCTCGATAAGCGAGTAGTAATTTCTCAAAGGTGCACAATTTCACATACCGTAGGATCGATCCTCCAAATACAAGTTCGCAAGACTTTTCAGTCAACCAGTGTTGTCCCTGAAAAACTATCGTACCAGGTCGTAAAAAGTACCATACACCAAACCGAACAAAACAGAAACTGTCGTCGTAATGATTCCATCTAGCACCAAGCATCCTATCCTCCTCAGTTCTTCCAAATGTGACCAACTACTTCAGAATTTCACCAGTAAAGAACTCATTTGAAAATTGTACCTTGGGATTCAAGAGAAGTGGCTACCATGTTAGTAGTAGACCCAAAAGCTCGAACCAAGCAAGCAGAAAACGAGAAGTCATCTTCCTCAACATGAAGTATCTCTTGGGAATTGTTGTAGTGCTCAATCCACCCCTCCATTTTTGCTTAGTTGCAGATTTCAAGTCAAACAAGGTCAAAGTTGGTGGAAAGAAGAACGACTCGCAAATGGTCATCCTAACAACCAAAGAGAACACGCACAATTCGAGAGAAGTGCAAAGATTATCCAATTCTCGCTTCGACCGTCGTGTAGTGCCATCTCAGAATGCACCAAACAGATATGCTAGAAATGTTTTAACAACCACATACTCACAACGATAAGGTTCAGAAGTGAAGTAGTGGAAATATGCGTCGAGACGAAGACATATCGTTGGAAAATAACCGATGTGATGCCTATGAATTCTAATAAGATGGTGATGCAATATGCTGACCTTCTGCACCAAAATCTTCACCAGTCTCTTACCAAAATACGGCTCAAACTTCACCCCCATGATGAACTCTTTCTGATAAGTCTGGTAAGCTTGTGAAAAGATTATGCTCCCAACATTCATGTCTGAATCAACACGAACTGGGTGCCCACTTTCACCCAAACGATCGATTGTGAATTTCTCACTGATTAGGCGAGAAACCATGCCGAGAAGGCTAAAAGAACACTTAAGAATTTGAGGATCAAAACAAATCCATTAAATATAGAGTATAAGATATCAGGATTTGAACTAGAAACCATGCCGAGAACAAACATTTTTTTTTCCACCCTCCAAATAATGTTCCGGCATGATCCAGTTCACATTGAGAAACAAACAAGCGAAGGAAGGTAAAGATGCAGAAATAGAAATCACTGTTTCTGATTATTTTGCAAATCATCACAGTATGGTCAACTGGTTTCTTAGCTAAAAAGGAAATAGGTCCAAGCTCAAGAATAGTTAAAAACTGATAATAAAGCTTGACGAGGCCAAAAACATTTCGAAATTCATAATACTTTGTGAAAGCTGTTTCCAAGTTCAAAAATTAAACATAGAACCTCTGAATCAGCAGAATGGCGAAGAAGAAAGATACAAAGCAACCTGCGTATGCATGCAGTGACACAATTGGCTACCTTAAAGTGATGCTCTTGAGCAAACCAAAGCTCAATGAGTCCAGAGAAGTTTAGAGTAAAGTTTGATCTTCATACAATGATGAATATGATAAAGTCTCAAGCCATTACACTGAAAATTACAAGACTGGACAGCTAGGCTGCAAGCAAGAGACTAAGTTCATCCTCGTCGAAAAGTACGAAGGCTAGGAGCTAGGATTTACCCCCAAGTACTAAACCCAGGTGAAGTTCAAGGAATCTGTTTATCCAAACAAGACTGGATATTCATCATCCAAATCCAACTACAACCGCAACACGAATTGCAACTCAATTTGGAAATTAATGACAATAGCGTTTGCTACTGACGAGTTTCTCAAGATTGCGATGTAGAGCCGACTCCGCCCGCAATTCCTAGGGAACGCATGTTGCAGAGTGGTATCGCCATTTCGAATCTACAGCTAGTCTTAACCAGAATTCCTCGAATTGAGATTTCTAAAACACGTCGCTTTCAAGTAATACTGACTCTAACCTTCATTCCCAAGGGATGCACGTCGTAGAGTATCAATCCGATGCTTAAAGTCGTCCAACAAATCAAACACATCACCGATGAGGCACAATCCCGACAAGAATTCTTGAATTTCAACCAGAGGATGACAATTCAATCAGAGAGAGATTTGCACAACTGCACCGACTAGCACAAAATCTGGAAGTCGTGACATTCAAATGATGTCAAAACCAAGACTTTACGAGAAAATGAGGGAATCCTAAGTATGCTCTGAACAACCCACGCTCTAATACCAATCTGACACGCCCCGACCCTGATATTCCCTGAATACTAGGATAGACACGTGCTGGCCGACACCCGAGGGTGACGAAAGCCATTAATTGATACAAAAGCTAAGAATAAGAAATAAATGAGGGTTAGAAATTTGAAATACAATGAGTTAACAGTTTTAAGAACGTGTTCAGAACATACAACTAACCCTAATCACTAAAAAGAATTAAGATAAAATTTAATGAATAAAGGAGTGAGTCCTACATTCGAGAGGATCCGAAGATGCTGCTGCGGAAGTGCCTTGACGTCAGGATTAGGTGCCTTGATTCTAAGTCCTGAATGGGGGCGCAAAACAAAGGTGAGTGGACCAAGTTCATATATATAATAATAATAAAACAATTATCAAGATACTAACCCCCAAAGTTTAATAGTGAAAACTACTAGCATAGTAAGTGATGGATTTAATAAAAATTCTAGCATGCCAAAAATATCTCAAAAGCCATATTGCGGAATCTCATCACAGAAATCAAAACAGTAAACGTCTCATAAATCGTCTCGTAAGCGCGGTGTGCTGCTAGAAAGATCACTGAATGAATATAACTCCCGGCCCAATGCCTGCACCTCAGTCTCTGTGCCCGTAGCCAGAGATAACTCCCTCCCGGCCCAATGCCTGTCTTCGTGTCCCTCAGCCTTTCGCTAGGGATTATTTCTCCCGGCCCACATGCCAACACCAGATCCTCGCCCAAGGCGGCATAGTGTCCACTAGGTACGCACAAATAGTTACGTCTCTCGTAAATACCACTTCATAGCGTAGGTTACCGATCATCGTCTACACTATAAAGAGGGGTTCAAAACATGTTCTAGTATCCTATCGTCATCTGTCAGATAGTCTACCAGTTCATGGTTTTTATAGAAAATACGATATATTGAAATATAGCTCAGTATAGGCTAACAATTAATTCTTCACCAAAACACGAGACGATAATCAATATATTTAATCGACATGCTTCATATAAATCACTTCATAAATTCGTAGGCATGCTAATCATTTATGCAATTAAACTATAAAATCATGTAATTTTAGAAGGGGTCCACTCATAGTACTTAGCCGCCAAAAGCTGTGCCATTAGCGAAGACGGAAACGTCACCATTAATTGCCCCTAAGCACATAAAGGGTACATTTAGTCAAACTCTACTCAAACGATTGAATTTGGGAAAACGGACTTCAAAAACGGGTCCGGGACGTCGAATTACCCTAAGAAGGTCTGAGGGTTTTCGGGAAAAGGAAAGGGAGAGAGTTAGGGTGCTGCCACTTGACAGTTTAGGAGAGAAAGACAATTTAGATGAACGGCTAGGATTTTGTTAGGATAAGGGGTAAAAGTGAAAAGTAAGCAAAATTTTAGGAAGAAGAAAAATTTACCTCAAACTTCCGGGTTGGGGTGTTTCACAATTTGACATCAGAGCCACTCCCGGCCGGAAATGTGCCGACAAGGGCGTCAGGTTCCTAAAGAAGGTGGATTGTAAGATCCCACATCGTCCGGGGGAAATGAGGTGATGTGCCTTATATATACTTGTCCACCTCCCTATACGAAGACGCTTTTTGGGTGGAAACCCAAGAACAAATCCATGAGGGCGTGACCCAAACCGGATTGACATTTTTACCCCCGTTTTAACTGTTATTTATTTTTATATTTATAACAAACAATATATCTACACTTACTTTATTTAGTAAAATGACGGATTTAGCCAGCGTGATCTATCTGCTTCTTTGACTAAAACCCTCGTAACGCTCTTACCCTGCAACAACGCCGCCTCCAGACCGCTCCTCCGCAAGTTTTTCCGAATCACACGTCGGTCTTCTCCATTGACTTAATCCTCGAGACCTCACCATCAAGTATTCAAGGTATGGATGTGTATTGATCTCAAGTAAATCATCCCCACATCACCCTTTTCTCCATCCACAAGTTTTCGCGTCAGGGGAGCAACCCACTGCAAGATATTTTCGTAGATTTCGTTTTTTTTTTTTTGGGCCGCGGGGTGGGGGAGGGGGGAGCATCCTCCATCTCTTCAAATTAACAAATTCCATCACTTGGGGGTCAGAATCAAGATATAAAGATGGTGGGAAATGGAAGAAACCCGAAGCAAAATTGGGAAATTTGGGTCTGCTCTTTGAATGCCTCAGAGAAATTTAGTTGAATTTATCTGTGAAATTGTTGTTTTTTGTTCCTAATGTGCTATTGAAAGCTCTGGAGGCAGAGCACCCAATAATCGACTCCAATTTCCAGACGAACACAAGGTCATCTTCTCTGCAGGTTCTTCTCTACCAGGTCAGCATCTATACGTTACAATAATGTACTATATATATATATATATATATATATATATATATATATATGTAAGTATGGATGTATACGTCTGCAAGTTTGTTTCTATTTTTCGCATCATCAGGTGCTTAAAGTTTTGAATGTCATGTTTTATTATTTGTACCAATTGGGTTCTTTGGTATCTGATTGGTTGATTATGTCTGTGAACTTTTTGGGTTTATTGGGTTTTTAGTTCTTGGTTGTTCCTTTTGAGCAAGATTTGAATTTTTGTTTCTCTTCTAGCAATTAATGATGCTTGGTTATTTGATATTTGTAGAGAAGTGGGCTTAATTTGAAAAGAGTTTTATAGAAAGGAGAACGCGGAGTGCCGGGTGGCTGGAAGAGGCGGAAGAGCTCATCATGTCAATGCCAGAAAAGCCTAATTGGGTACGGACACATGATGACCTGAGGAGAGGGAACCTTGCGTTCAAGCACTTTACTGAACTGGAACCAATGTCTAAGATTGTTGGTCATTGATGAAAATGAAATTGGAACTCCTTTCTTTACGTTGGAAGACTGCAAAACCGCAAAAAAGGGCAATCCTCTCATGGACATGCAATACTCTTGATACGTAAAGGGGCTTTCAGCACAAATTAATAAGAGCATACACCAGTGCAAATGAGGTTTGGAGAACGACTCTTAAAATATTCGAATCATTCATCATCATGACATATAGGATAGCTGTACAATTAACGGGAAAGATTTGTTACTGATAAATGTATTTCCAGTTTCAGCATGTTCCTCTCTCTGCTCTCTGTGGGAGGAGGTTATCAGAAAGTTACTCACCCTTGGTGTCTCCATAAGCTCAAGTCTGGACTTGTGCCGGAACTGGTTCATGTGTCAAGCATGCACGCACCAAGGACCAAGTCGCTCTACCCGCATGGAGAAAGCTGGGGATGATCGGATAATTAATGTTGAAAGAGTATGGAAAACTTGCAACATGAAAGTTGTAAATGGATTGCATGCTGTGTTTTAACACATTTTTTAGACATTTTTATTTAAATAACATTAAACTCTTGATGTTGTTTGAAATTGAAAGTACATGGATCTTCAGAGCATCGTATAATCTATTTTTAGGCAAGGAATGTGGGATATTTTGGGCTAGTATCGTCCTTTTCCAGGTTGACTTCTCTCTTTTTGTAAAGGACACCTGACGATCGAAAGTAACCCAAGTGAAAGAGGCAGGCCCTCTTCTGGAATGGATGCTAGCTTTGGACAATCTTCGAGGCTCAGAGTCTGAAGAGAGGTGAGGAATTGAATGCCCTTGCTGATTTTCTTCAGATTTAGGAAGTCATAAATTTCAAGTTCAGTGAGGGATTTGGGAGCAGCATCTCCTCCTTCCCATCAGGTGGAAATGACAACATCTGGATCTTCACTTCTGATCAACAACTTTCTAAGAGAGGAGAGGTTGTGCAACCCCCACTCCAACTCCCAGAGCCGCTTACAACTCTCAACTTTATAAATTCCAAGTGATGTCAGGTTGGGAGGAAATGAAGTCAAGATATAAAGATGGTGGGAAATGGAAGAAACTTGAAGCAAAATTGGGAAATTTGGGTATGCTCTGCGAATGCCTCAGAGAAATTTAGTTGAATTTTATCTGTGAAATTGTTGTTTTTTGCTCCTAATGTGCTATTGAAAGCTCTAGAGGCAGAGCACCCAATAATCAACTCCAATTTCCAGAAGAACACAAAGTCGTCTTCTTTGCAGGTTCTTCTCTACCAGGTCAGCATCTATGCATTGCAATAATATACTCTATATATATAGATGTATGTATATGTCTGTAAGTTTGTTTCAATCTTTCATTGTACTTGATTTTCTGGTAAGTCTGGTCATCAGGTGCTTAAAGTTTTGAATTTCATGTTTTATTATTCGTACCACTTTGTTATGAACTTAGGATTTAGTGATTGGCGTAATCACTATTAGGAGTTTAATATTGGATTTGTTAGGCTTTTCTTGTTTTTAGTGAAGTCTGTTAGAAATGCCAGCTGGCATTAAAGGTGAAAGTCTATAAAAGGGAGCTGAGCTCCCTGAATTGTATTGGATCAGAATTTACAAACAGAAATACAAACCAAAAAATATATTGGACATCAAACTTCCGGGTTGGGGTGTTTCACAATTTGACATCAGAGCCACTCCCGGCCGGAAATGTGCCGACAAGGGCGTCAGGTTCCTAAAGAAGGTGGATTGTAAGATCCCACATCGTCCGGGGGAAATGAGGTGATGTGCCTTATATATACTTGTCCACCTCCCTATACGAAGACGCTTTTTGGGTGGAAACCCAAGAACAAATCCATGAGGGCGTGACCCAAACCGGATTGACATTTTTACCCCCGTTTTAACTGTTATTTATTTTTATATTTATAACAAACAATATATCTACACTTACTTTATTTAGTAAAATGACGGATTTAGCCAGCGTGATCTATCTGCTTCTTTGACTAAAACCCTCGTAACGCTCTTACCCTGCAACAACGCTGCCTCCAGGCCGCTCCTCCGCATGTTTTTCCGAATCGCCGTACATCGGCCTTCGCCATTGACCTATCCCTCGAGACCTCACCATCAAGTATTCGAGGTATGGATGTGAATTGATCCCAAGCAAATCATCCCCACATCACCCTTTTCTCAATCCACAAGTTTTCGCTTCAGGGGAGCAACCCACTGCAAGATATTTTCATAGCTTTCGTTTGGGGTTTTTTTTTTGGGGGGGTGGGGGGGGGGGGTGTGTGGGGGGCGTCCTCCATCTCTTCAAAATTAACAAATTCCATCACTTGGGTCAGAATCAAGATATAAAGATGGTGGGAAATGGAAGAAACCCGAAGCAAAATTGGGAAATTTGGGTCTGCTCCTTGAATGCCTCAGAGAAATTTAGTTGAATTTATCTGTGAAATTGTTGTTTTTTGTTCCTAATGTGCTATTGAAAGCTCTGGAGGCAGATCACCCAATAATCGACTCCAATTTCCAGACAAACACAAAGTCATCTTCTCTGCAGGTTCTTCTCTACCAGGTCAGCATCTATGCATTGCAATAATGTACTATATGTATGTATGTATGTATACGTCTGCAAGTTTGTTTCTATCTTTTGCTTCATCAGGTGCTTAAAGTTTTGAATTTCATGTTTTATTGTTTGTACCACTTGGGTTCTTTGGTATCTGATTGGTTGATTATGTCTGTGAACTTTTAGGGTTTATTGGGTTTGTAGTTCTTGGTTGTTCGTTTTGAGCAAGATTTGAATTTTTGTTTAGAGAATTGGGCATAATTTGAAAACAGTTTTATAGAAAGGAGAATATGGAGTGCCGGGTGGCAGGAAGAGGAGGAAGAGCTCGTCATGTCAATGCCAAAAAAGCCTAATTGGGTACGGACACATGGTGACCTGAGGAGAGGGAACCTTGCGTTCAAGCACTTTACTGAACTGGAATTTGGAAACACATTGGAGAAAATGAATTGGAGATTACTCATGGGATGAGTTTCATCAAAATAGATGGTGCCGTCCATGAGGTTGTAGTGTGGACTATTCATCATAGCAGGCACAAAGAAATCTACATTGGAATTGGAACTCCATTCTTTACTTTGGAAGATTGCAAAACCGCTAAAAATGGCAGTCCTCTCATGGACATGCTATACTCTTGATACGCAAATGGGATTTTAGCACAAATTGATAAGGGCATTTACCAATGCAACTGGAGAAAGACTCGTAAAATATTCGATTCATTCATCATTGTGGCAGAGAAAGTAACTATATATTCACAATTTATTGAAAGATTTGTTACATGGTAGAATTCTTACGTAATCACAGTTATATATATATAGATAATATACAATGATAAATGTATTTACAGTTTCAGCGTGTTCCTTTCTCTGCTCTCTATGGGAGGAGGTTATCAGAAAGTTACTCACCCGTAGTGTCTGCATAAGCTCAATTCTGGACTTGTGCCGGAACTGGTTCATGTGTCAAGCATGCACGCACCAAGGACCAGGTTGCTCAACCCGCTGCCTGGAGAAAGCTGGATATGATCGGATAATTAATGTTCAAAGAGTGTATGGAAAACTTGCAACATGAAAGTTGTAAATGGATTGCAGGCTGTGTTTTTAACACATTTCTTTAGACATTTTGATTTAAATAACATTAAACTCTTGATGTTGTTTGAAATTGAAAGTACCTGGAGCTTCAGAGCGTCTCATAATCTATATATAGGCAAGGAATGCGGGATATTTTGGGCCAGTATCGTCCTTTTCCAGGTTGACATCTCTCTTTCAGTAAAGGACACTTGACGATCGAAAGTTCCCCAAGTGAAAGAGGCAGACCTTCGTCTGGAATGGATGCGAGCTTTGGACAATCAATTAGTTGCAGAGTCTGAAGAGAGGTGAGGAATTGAATGCCATTGTTGAGTTTCTTCAGATTTGGGAAGCCACTAATTGTGAGTGCAGTGAGAGATTTGGGGAGCAGCATCTCCTCCTTCCCATCAGGTGGAAATGACAACACATCTGGATCTTTACTTCCGATCGACAAAGATTTGAGAGACGTGAGTTTGTGCAACCCCCACTCCAACTCCAAGAGCCGCTTACAACTCTTGACTTCATAAATTCCAAGTGATGTGAGGTTGGGAGGAAAGGAAGTCAAACCTTCCAAGCAGTCAATCTCCAATTCCTTAAGAGACGTGAGATTGCGAATGTCTTCCGGTGACACCTCCAATTTTCTGCAGCCCCTAACAGTAAAAGCTTGAAGATTGGTGAGGTGGCATAGGCCCTCCGGTAAGGATTTCAGATTTGGACACCTGACAATGTTAATATATTCAAGACAATTATTAGTATTGTCGTGGAAGAACCGGTCTGATGCTATTAACTGTAGCCCTTCACATTCGATTATTTGAAGGTGTTTAAGCGCCCTGTAAAGCTGGCCTCTCAGTGATAACGATGTCAGAGATGGACAATAATATACCTCCAAGTGCTCAAGAGAAACAGAAAAAGAAGATGAACAAGAAACAACGAGCTCCTCCTCCTCCTCCACTAATGATTTCAAACTTCCACAAAACCATATCTCTATTCTTTTCAGATTTTGGGGAATCTGGTATTTTGCAATATACGTCAGAGACTTACAGTGTTTAATCTCCAAGACTTTAAGAGAAGGTGGCAGGCCAACATCTGGAAAAGAAACTAGACTTTCACAGTCATTTATGTGAAGCTCTTGAAGAAACGACAACTGATGCAACCCCTTCGGCAGCTTCGAAAGACGTTCACATTTGTTTATTTTCAGATATTCAAGCTTACAAGCTAAAATTGGAACCTGCAGCAACCCCTCCAATTCTTTTCCGAGACCTTCAACAAGGGCAGAGTTGCCTTCAATAACCAAACGAACAAGAGAAATCAGGTGTGGGAAACATCTATCCTCTTTTTCCAGTGAAGACGTCAGCTCCTCACAACCACTAATCTTCAACTCCTTAATCTTGCCCAATCCTTTCGTAAGTCCCCCTGCTCCCAACTGCGGCTCCAAAATATTTGAAAGCCGCATGGTCTCTAATAACTTAAAGTCAACCTCTGCGCTAGTATGCACAAGCGCTTTGCAGCCATGGATGCTTACTTCACTCGCGTGTTCATAATTGGCAATTTCCACCACCAATTCCTTGCATCCAACAATCTCAAGCTTTGCTAACGAATTAAGTTTCTTCGGCAACTCGCCCTCCAGTTTAGGGCACTTTCTGATTGAAAGCACTTTTAGGCTAGGGAAAACACCACTTCCCTTATCCTGATCGAAAGGCAGCCATTTCTCCCAGTGTTGCATGCTCGAAAACTGAAGAATCTCTAATACTCGAAAAGGCAAGCTACCCTCTCCGTAGAATTCAGGACCAACGATTTCCACGGCAGTCATTCCCCTGATATAAAGTTCTTTAAGGCAAGGCAACTGTCCAACTGGTGGCAAGAGATGACAACTTGCACAATTGTATAAGCTTACACGGACCATGTTAGAGAACAGAGGATCTCCAATCCACGATGAAAATTTCAATCCAGCATAACCCTCAATGGTGAGCTCTTTGAGATTTTTAGGAGGTTTTAACATGTCAAGCACACCCAACTCCATTTCCCTCGATCCGCTCAAATCAGACCATTCCAGCTTCAACGAATCAAGCCTCTCCTTGTCTATTAACCTGGCCCCGCTAGCATCCTTAGCATCAACCACATTCTCCAATCTTGAGAGGCACAATGTCCCTCGGAGATGCAGTAGGGACCCTATCTCTCTTATTCCAGACTGATCACTACCTTTGCCTACCACAAAATACGACAAGGATTGCAGATTCGTCAATCGACCTAGATGCGGAGGCATTCTGTCCAATCCACTGGAACTGTTGAGATGCCGCAAATTAATTAGATTACTCATGTTTGCGGGCAATGCCTCCAATTCAGAACAACCTTCTAATAACAATGTTTGCAGATTGCAAAGAGTGGTTGTTGATGGAGGCAAACTCTTTATTTTTGTATAAGAAAGGTCCAGATACCGTAGATTCCACAAATTACCAATGGAATTGGGCAGCTCAGTTATTTCATAGCCATTCAAAGAAAACACCCGTAAGATTCGCAGTTCTGGCAATAGATCAAATGTAACCCTACGAGTTAGAGAGTTATACCTTGATTGTGGAAGCGGCAAGAATGTCCTCAAATGTTTAACTCTTGAAATGGCCTCAAATTTTTTAACCCCATCATACTTACCAATAATATAAGACATATGACGAGCCATTGGATGCAAGTCATCATTTCCCTTATCCTCCAATGAAAAGCATATTTCAGCTGCAGCCCACCGCGCCAACTCACCAACAAGGTCATGCATTACATACTTATCATTGCTTTTGCTTGCCTTTTGAAATAATGACCTGGACAATAGCTCTTGAAAATAGTCACTGCCTACTTCTTCCAGTTGTTTCTTGTCCTCTACTCTTTGTTGAATCAAACCTTCTGCCATCCACAGAAGGATCAACTGCTTCTCCCCGAACTCATAGTCATTCGGAAGTAGGGAACAATAGGCGAAGCACCGTTTCAAACTCGAAGGGAGATAGTGATAGCTCAATTTTAATACCGGGAGAATGCCACTATCGTCTGATAAACTCCACATCTTGTTGTTTAAGATTTCCTCCCATGCTTCAACTTGTTTACAACGTAGAAGACCTCCAAGAGTCCTTGCAGCCAATGGCAATCCGCGACATTTTGCAACAATTTTCTCCTTAACCAACTTAAAATTTTGCGGCCTTTTGGTAAAGTCCAAAAGGCAATGTTGCTCAAAGACTTCCCAACATTGATCATCTGTCATGCAATCCAATTGATAAACAGTGGATCCCATCATGTTTGCAACCTTTGCATCACGTGTTGTCACAACTATCTTACTTCCTAATGCTCCAACACGAAAGGGGGACTGCAATTTTATCCATAAATCATAGACACATGTATTCCAAACATCGTCTAAAACAATTAGAAACTTTTTTCCTGCTAGCTCCTTACTCAAACTTTCTTGAACCTTGTTGAATTCCTTGAATTCCGGCATTGGACCAGATGTGGCAGATTCAAGAATTGCCTTTGTCACTCTTTCAAGATTGAAGTCATCCGACACGGATACCCATACTTTTAGGCTAAACTCTTTTGTCGCGTCATCATCATAAACATGCCTTGCAAGTGTTGTCTTTCCCACTCCAGGCATACCGACAATGGCAACTACATGAAAGTTGACGACACGGGGTGCTTCTTTCAACAACAAGTCAATAATCTTCGTCTTGTCTGTATCCCTTCCAATCACGGGTCCTTCTGGTAGATAGGAACTTGGTGACACATGCCATTCCTTAGTAGATGGCGTCCCCTCATTTAAACCAAGTTGGTTTTTCCGTTCCATTATCTCATGTAACCGATCAGTAATCTTCTTTATTTCTGAGCTCAAGTTATAGTTAAATTTAACATCAGAATACAATCCCCATACTTTGCTTGTGGTAGCCCAATGTTTCTTCTTTATTTGGCGTCGCAATATCTCGGTTGAATACTTGTCCAATATGTCCTCCACATCATAAGCCAAGTCTCTAAGACCATCCAGCCACAATTTCATTGCTCGGCTTGTCAACTGCTTCTCCTCTGCGTCATTCAGTACCGCTTGAATAGCAAACAACATTGAATTCCATTTGTCTAGCTCTTTGCCAACGCCAAGTAGGCGTCTAAAGTAGCTCAGCGTCTCACGAGATGTCAACCTTTCAAGTAACACTTGGAGTAATCCAGAAATAAAGACCTCTCCTAGTGACATAGCTTATAAGAACTTCTTCGGGATCATGTTTATTAACAGCTTCTTCAGGAGAAAGCAAGGTATCAAGATTGAAAGAGTGAAGTGAGGCACCCAATCCAAGAACAAGTAAGCAAATGTTACGGGGAAGCTTGAGCAATGTCAACCGTCGAACTGCAAAAAAGTGAAACTTGTTAAGAAAAAGTTACATAAATTCTAGTTTTGTTCTCTCACCGAATTTTCTCAAAGCTTTTAGAATTTATCGAATAAAAAATTATGATTTGTGTCATAGTTACAAGCTCAGAGATATGTCATGAGTATAGTAAACAAATTGGCCTCAGGATTGTTCTTGTTAGAAGTGTTTTTCTTTTTGCACATAAATTTGTAACACTTTTTTTCTGCCAAAAATAAGAGCCAGCTATTCCCGTACCAACTTCCATTGAAATCATAACAAGATGGTTTATGCAATGATGATTAGTTATACATAGAGTTAGGATTGGGGGCACACATGTTTTGAGACACACTTTGTAGAGCATGTTAGGATTTTGCTCGTTGGTATTAGAGTCCTACTTTGTTTAGGATTGTATTAGAAAAGCTAAAGGTGCACATATAGGCATGTAAACAACACCCTATACTTACAAATAAGGTGTGGCTAGAAGCAGAAAAACTAAGACAAGTAAGAGAAGAGAGGGAATGAGATTGGTCATATGGTTTGTATACTTTATTGTTAATTAAATAAGTTATGATTTCTCTATCCAGAGAAATCACAACAGGACGTAGGCAAAAGTTCTGCTGAACAAGGATAAATATTGTGTGTTTATATGTTATCTCTATTTGCTAAGTTTAGTGTACTGCTAGATACATCAAAGAACATAACCTAGACGGGGAGTTGAAATTTTACAATTGGTATCAAGAGCTTGGTTCAAGGTGTTCTGCGATGGAAAGAGGAATGCTGATAGCAGGTTTAAGAAGCTTAAGGCATGTGTTAAAACATTTTGATGGCAAGGATGACTTCATGGATTGGCAAAGGATGATGAATCATGTATTGATACATCATGATTTAGATGATGCACTCCTTGGTGAGACCGACCATGATAGAAGCAACATGGACCAATATTCTCAAGAAGACCAAGAGTTCCATCGAGACTCATCTCACGAAATCAATCAGGTCCCATGTTACAGAAACGATGACTATTAAGGAAGAATATGACAACTTGGAGAAGGTTTATAGGGGCAAATCCGTGTCCGATAAATTGTTTCTCAAGAATGAATTATTCGGGCTTTGCCTGGAAGAATGAGATGATATTAAAGATCATGTATTCCATAATTGCTTGGCAAATGGAAGAGAAAAACACCAACATGGGTTGGTCAAAATCCAAGAAGAAAACGGAAACGAAAGAAGGCTGCTCGAATGTGGTTATGCTGATCATTAGAAGAGGAACTGCAAGATTTGGAAGGAGAAGAAAGATACGATGGAAGAAAATGATGTTTATCTAGTACAATCACCGAATAAGAGAGTGACAAGGAGCTTTTTTAGGTAACTTGGGGCTTCAAGGCTTTCATAAGTTGGATATTGGAAATCCGATACACATTCCATATGTGTTAGGTAAGAGAATGGTTCGATACCTACAAAGAGGTCAGTAGCAGAATAGTTTTAATGACGGATGATTGGCCATGTCCTCTAAAGAGATCGACATTGTTAGATTCAGGATGTTTAATGGAGTGATATGAGCTTTGCGAAATGTCAGATATGTCCCTAGACTAAAGAAGAATTTTGATCTCCTTAGGTACTTTAGACAAGACAGTATAGTTCTAAAGAAGAAAGACTTGAGGTGACCAAAGGATCACTGGTGGTAATACAGGCTGACATATAGTACAATAAGTTGTACAAGCTCATCGGGACTATGATAATAGGGGGTGCAGTCGTTTCCACAAAGCACAATAAAAAAGACAAGACTGACCTTTTTATTATAGGCTAGGGCATATTAGTCAGAAGGGTTTGCAAGAATTATAAAAGAGAGGCCTACTATAAGGCGTGTCATTTTGCAAACTCCACTTTTGTGAGTATTGCGTTATCATGAAGCAAAGAAATGTATCATTTGCATATACCAATGCAGATAACCAAAGTAAGGAACAACTTGAAGAACATGTTGACCAAGGACTTTGACATGAAGGATCTACGTTTTGCACAAAAATCCTTGGCATGAAAATTCAAAGAGAAAGGATTTGTGGTAGAATCTGGATATCACAAGCCAAGTATATTCAAAAGGTTCTTGAGAAGTTCAACATACTAGAAGTAAAGGTAGTTTCGGCTCCTTAATTCGGCGGCTTACTATAGATTAAGTGGCCAACAATGTCTTAGGTCCAAGAGAGAAACAAGTGATGGAGAAGGTGCCTTATGCTAATGTCTTGGGTTGCCTAATGTACGCAATGGTATGCACACGACCCGACCTAGCTCAAGTAATCAGTGTAGTTTCCAAGTACATGGAATATCCAGGAAAGTAACATTAGGCTGGAGTCAAGTGGATTATATGTTACTTAAGAGGTTTTTGGCAACATAGGATTATGTTTAAGAATCAAAAAGTAAATTCAGGAGTGGTGGGATATGTTGATGTCGAATATGCAGGAGACTTGGACAATAGATTGTCAACTTCTAGTTATGTCTTTATATACGCAAGAGGACCAATCAGCTGGAGGGCACTACTGCAACCAATTACAACTTTGTCAACCACAAAAGCAAAGTACACATATTGCTCTAACCCAAGTTGTAAAGGAAGCAATTTAGCTTAGTGGCTTGGCTAGCCAAATGGGAATCACTCAAGATTACGTGAAGTTGAAATGTGACAATGTAATTCACTTGGCAAAGAATCAGGGTTTTCATGGAAGATCAAAGCATATTGAAGTGAGGTCTCATTTTTAATTCTTACACACCATTCTCAATTTACGGCCAACAGATCGAATGAAGTGAAGAAGATCAATGAACAAAAATTAACAAGGGTGTGTGGGAGGTAAAAAGGAGTGTGAATAGCTTTACCCATTAAGGAATCCCAGATTGGGTGGAGTCCAAGAAGATTTGGGTTGGAAAGGTTCACATGGACGACAATGCCGCATATTTTCTTATCTAGATAATGTCGGCCAAGAAATTCAAGCGTTGCTTGAACTTGATCAATCTAGTTCATTGATTAAGGTGGAGGCCCTCCTCACTTGAGATGCAATGAGAAGATAAGAAGTTTTCCAAGGTAATGGTTCTAGAAGATTTCTAGAGTTGCTTCAAGAAGGTTCGAGATACTCTAAGGGTGCAATAGTCAAGACTTGGTTTAACTCACCAAAGTGGAGATTGTTAGGATTTAACTTGTCAATGTTAGAGTCCTATTTTGTTTAGGATTGTATTAGGATAGCTAAAGGTGCACAAATTCTTGTTCTATATGGATTAGGAAAGAATTCATGGCGCGTTTACATAAGGGGAGTGGGACAAGAGGAATGGGAATTGCACTCCTCCCAGGTTATTCAAGTGTTTACCAACACTTGAGGGAATGAAATGTATGTGGGACCCATCTAATATGGGGAATCAGACTCCCAATATACTCGGAATCAGTCTCCTGAACAATAGATGAGATTTGAATTCCATGAGAAAACCTCTATCTGAAATCCCTTTTTTCTACCCAAAATACCCTTATCTCATCCCTTCCACCTCTTTCTCTGCTTCTGTGTGTCTCTGCGGGCAGTGACCAATATCAAAGGAGAAGAAAAATCAGAAGGGAAGAAGAAGAAGATGGAGAAAATAGATGGAGAAAAGAGATGGAGAAGCTAAAAAGAATTGGGAAATGGGGTGTTGCGCGGTCTTCACGAGAAAGAAAAAACAATTGGTGGATGGGGAAGAAGAATCAAAAGGGAGCAAGAAGAAGACGGGAAGAATCAGAAGAATGGGAGGCTGAAAAAAGTTGGGGGATGGCTGAAAAGAATTGGGCAATGGGGTGCAGTTTGGGCCTCAGGAGAAAGAAAAATAATTGAGGGATGGGGAAGTAGAGCCCACTCCATAACTTTATTCAACAATTCAAACCATCTATATTTCAATTCATCATTTATAAATCATCATTGCAAAAATTAGAAAACCCTAAATCATTAATAAGCTTATTTGTAGAAAATTAAATGGATGAATACAGTTGTGCAAAAAAATACTAAAATGAATATCATTTAATCTAACTTAAATATTGTTTTGTTTTTTGGTGAATATTGGTAGACACGTTATTTGCGGGAAGACCAAAAAAATAAACGGTTAGAAAAAAAGTTGCTTAATGTGCTCTACGAATGAGTATCAAATGTGTTTTAAAAAAATGAATGTCCCCGATCCTAATCCTTATATACAAAATTTCATGACAAGCACAAAGAAATAAATCTCATAGGGATTTCGACTAAGCTTTAATTTTATTTTATATTTTTCTTTTTATGAAAGGTTGTATCAATTCCCCCAAAAACGTATAGATCGTATCAACTATCACATTCCCAATGGATTTAGGACCAAAGAATACAAATGGACCAAAGAATCCAGCATAAAGAGTAAATAGAGAAGGGCAAATTAAAAAAAGGATAAAATACTGATATAGATTCATATTAAGGACATGTAGATTTGGATAAGGAGTAAAAAGACAATACCTTTAAAGGAAAATTCACACGAGACTTCTTGTTCTTGAAGATGGAGAAAAGCATGCTCCGCTGCAGTAGAGTGATGACCTATTAAAGAGAGCTTAAAGAATGTTTAAAGACAGTTTGGGCATTGGGCATACAAGAATAGGGGTTGTTTATTTCAATATAGGAGGAGAGCATGTTATGGATTGTGATTGCTTTTAAAATAGTTAAAAGTGTTTTGGGACAATAAAAAAACTTCAATGACGAGCCTTTGACTGCTTTTGGAAGAAGAGTTAAAAAATGTTTTTGAGTCATAGAAGTGTTTTTTGAAGAAACACATGATAGATGCTTCTTCAAGAAGCACTTCCAAATACTTTTTCAATAAGCACTTGGTTTATTTATTTTTATATAAACTCCACATTAAAATCTCCAATACACGCACTTCTAGCAAAAATCGTTTATAAGTGATTCCTATACAACCAATTCCCACTTCTTTATGTTGTTGAAACCCCCATTTTTCAAGTGCTTCCTATATTCAACTAACGTATTTCCAGTTTTTGTCAAACAAAATGCTTTTACTCGTACAATAAGTAATAAGCACTAATCATACCAAAAGTACTTCCAATAAGCCCGTAAAAGCGATTGAAACAAGACCTTTCATTATCATATAGGTCAATCGATTTTTCGATATTTTCCAACATTAGAGGAACAAATGCAACTGATAGCCTAAATATTATCCATGCAAATTTGAATAAGTAAGAATTCATCCATATTATTTCAAATTGTAAATTACATAAAATGAAATAGATTACCCATGGCAAAAAAGCACTTACATGGAATGGAAGTATGGAACTAGAGAGAGGAGAGATGGCTCGCTAACAAATCGGGACTAAAATTAAAGGAATAATAACTTCTTCAGGAGAGTGTATATCAACCGTCCAACTGTAAAAAGTGAATCTCGTTAAGGAAAAAGTTAGAGAAATTATAGTTTTCTTGTTTCACTGAATTTTTTCAAAGCTCTTAGTATTTACTGAATAGAACATTATGGTTTCTTTCCTAGTGACAAGCTCAGAGACATGTCCTGAGCATGGTTTGTGGGATAATAATTACATGATGGAAATGCAAAATTTCCTGACATGCACAAAGAAATAAATCCCATAGGGGTTTGGACTAATCTGTAATTTTATTTATTTCTTCTTTTTTATGAAAGGCTGTATCAATCTCTAAAAAAAGTATAAGATTGTATCAATTCTCAAATTCTTAATGGATTTAGGGTTTAGCATCAAGAAAACAAATGGACCAAAAGAGTAAGCAGAGAAAGGCAAATGAAAAAAAGGACAAGATATAGATATGGATTCATATTTAGGACATGCAGATTTGGATAAGGAGTAAAAACACAATACCTTTAAAGGAAAATTCACACGGAACTTCTTGTTCTTGAAGATGGAGACTTGTTCTTGAAGATGGAGAAAGACCTGCTCTGACATATAAGAATTGGTTAAGTACTCTCATCAAAGCACTTGCAGTTATTTCAAAGACACTTTCAAATAAGCCCTTGGATTTTCCATGACAAAAAGCTTACATGAAATGAAAGTATGGGAGTAGAGAGATGAGAGATGGCTCGCTAATAAATCCGGACTGAAAATTGAAGGAAGAATAACTTGCACTTTCTTTTGCTTTATATCATAAAAATTTCTACTTCCTTTATTTGCTGTCTACGGAATCCCTTTCCACCATACTACTCCATCTATTCATTCTTTCTTCAAACTTGCTTTTGGTATACATTCTTACTTCAAGTAGCATTGAAAGCATATCCTTTGGCCTTCCCTAGTAGTTTTTATGTTCTTGCGCTTGATTTCTGTGACGTTGTTTATGTAGCGGTGAGAGTTTAACAGTTTTAATAATTATATTTTATTAGAAGCAAACTCATGAAACTTGCATGTTAAAACTCAACGGTTGAAATCACTCTCCTGGACTTGAATTTTTCGGCCTGCCGTGTTAGTTTGATTCCAACTTTAACCATCACAACGAACAAAGTGTTATCTTCTGCTTTAAATCTTTTGAAGGGAAATGTTCTCTTGCAGAATGTATTAGGAAACAAAAAATTATTTGTGTTATCGTACAACGAACTTAAACAGATTCTTACCTGAATGTGTGGTCCAGATAAAACATTCCATTCCTTCAACGTGAAATATGAATTTGCTTTATTTGTAATTTATCGTAAGATTGGATACACGAGAACCGTGGAATTGTTCTTATTCAAGGACGATAATAGTTACAAATAAATGTTCTCTTGCAGTGCTGTTTGATCCGACACCTTCCACGGCAGTGCTCGAATATACACCAGATTATTTTTCACCACATACGCTTGATTCTGGACTTCTGCCGGAACTGCTTCTTTGTTACGCACCAGGGGCCCGGGAAGGTGCTCAGCTGCATTATTACCAGGTAAATTATAGCAAACAAAATGTGAAACCCATCGCCCAGAAGATTAGTAAGATTCCCAATTCATATTCCATTATTTATCAAAAAAGACACGGAAATTTTACTTGTAATTGAATGATACCTGCGAGTCCTGGTAAACATGCGGCGCCTCCTCACAAAACAACTGTCTTGAACCATGCATCGTCTCCTGTTAGTTCTGCCGAATGGCAATGTTCCATGCAAAGAGCAACAGCCTGGTGCAAACCCATAGTACGCCTATATGAAATATGACATTATAAGTTCCAAATAAAATTTCCCATTGAAATTCTGTTTTCCGAATAAACTAACTAGTACAATTTGGAGAGAACATGATTAGCAATTTATCATACTAACATACGCATCCTTTTTAAGTTTCCACTATCCAATCCTTCAACCAGTAAAGCATAGGGCAAACTGAACTTCTTACCTCAGGATGTCGAGCTCACTTAGTAACTTCCTATTTATCATTCCACCAATAAATTTCCAAACTATGACATGAGAAGAAAGAACAAAAGCTAGAACTAGAAAAAGCCTTCTTTAAACAAGCTGTGGCGTTCTACTGGTCATATTAATACTCACGGATAGCATTCTATGACGATAAAAATCCAAGCTATACCTCTTTCACAGTCCAAACTGTGTACAGTGAGTCAAAATTTATATTGCTCTGCTGCAATAGCTCCCTAAGGAACCCTGTAAGCTTCAGCGCTCCCAATCCCATAACCTCCACACCCACCTTGCGCATAACTTTACCATTTAAAACTGTAAACACAATAGTAACCCTGTAACTTTACCATTTGATTAATTGTGAAGAAAAAAAAAATACAACAAAATTGTAAAAGAGAAACTATGCACATTCCCTACGAAAGCATCAAGTATGACCAGAGATCTTTTCAGTAGTTAATAAATCTGAAATCACGAGAAAGATCAAACGTAGAATGGCTTACTTGGAACAATAGAAGTGACCTGGAAACCAATGTTTACAACAAACCCTGAAGTTCGTCTTGCTGCATACAAAGCTAAAGTTGCCTGCAGTTTCAATAGCAGACAATGAATACTGGACCTAGACTCAATTAACCCATTTATACACTGAGAGATGCAGTTCCAGATGACATGACAACTTTGCACAATTGCAACGCCATTGGTCCATTCTTCCCTATGGTTTATGGGAAAACATATATATTATTATGGAGGGGATGGGGAACAGTTTACCTGATTAACGGCACCGACAGCAGGGACATTCATGTCAAAAAGTACTTTGTATATGGCTTCTTTGAGCTGCCGTCTCGATGCTTTAGCAGATTCAGTATCTAGAATAAAAAATAAGAAAAAAATAGCACATTAGGTGGATGAAGACACTACTTTGTGAAGGATAACAAGACAAAGAGAATTGTGCAACTAATCCAAATTATAACTCTAGAGCAGCAACTCACCATCATAATGGCAGATTGGTATAGACAAAACCACGGGCTGCGAAGATGGTTTCACCTGCATCCTAAGAAGAAACACAATCACATATATCAGCTATACCTGCTATCAAAGATTCAAAGGAATCGCAGTGAACCAGCATGCCACATGATAACGAAGGTAGTGCAGTTTCTTTCTTCTCTACTTTTAAACTGAAAAGAGGAAAAGTATCTCAAATGTGCTTACTTGTATTTATGTAATTGAACATGCAGATTGAATAAAGAAATGTATGCAATTAACTAAGAGAAAGAGGATTGCATCAAGAAGAACAGCTACAAGCTTCTTTAACTATGAAGTTGCTTGACTAATAATAGTGAAAACTAAAATATAGGAGGACACACCTGCTATAAATATTCACAAAAAAAATGGCGGAGTCTTGAGTACATCGGCGACTCAACATTACCAAATTCCTGCGAGTCAGATCACTTCAGAACATTTTAGTGATAGACATAGCAAGAAAAAAGTGTGCAATCAAAAGTGACAGGTATATTAAACAATCTAACAATCATGTGGAATGGAAGGTTTATGCAAAAAAACTTCTTGACTGTGAGCTGAAATAAACATCTCACCAAAAAGGTTGCTGATCGGCCTGATGGACATGTGTATTTGCTCCAGCCAAACTTGCAATAGCCAGAGCCCCCTTCCCAAGAAATGTAAAAATAAAATGAGGGAACGGTTGAGCTACATAAACCCAAACGTTTGTTAACAAAACAAAATCATAACTCTACTCATATTATTACAGATGCTATAATAGTGATACTAAAACATTGAATAGCTATTGTTAGCCTACTTAAACATAAATACTGTTACTGCGTCAAGAGGCTGGAGACACTCACCATCAATGATAACAAAACCAGGAACTTGAACTCATTGACCATAAATACCCATGTAGGACAACTGGGGACTCTCACTTGAGAATATTCTTCAACAAAAACAATATTTGAATAAGCTCGGCCATAAAACTCAAAACACAATTCAATGCGCAGGCACCAAGTAGCATATACATTATTTCGACATCAAAGAACAAATTCACTAGACAAGTCCATGGTTTCCTCACCAAAACAATGGCGTAACGTTTTCTCCAAGATACTAACACTCAATTCCAATTATCACAGCGAACAGATACAACCAATTTAAATCCCATTCACAATTCTGACATTTTTATGTTTGACCACTTGAAAATCACACCTTTGCACAACTTTGCCAAAAATAAAAATTTCTGTCAGTAAAAATTCCACTCTTTACTACCGCTGATAATAATTTAAATACAAAAAAGTTCATTTAATCGATAATTATAGACTTTAGAACTTATGAACTGAGCTGCCGCTAAGTCTTGAACTTTCCCGGCAAAAAATAAAATAAAATAAATTTCACAGTAAACTCTCAATCTTTGAACACTAATTTGAATTCAAATTATTTATATATAACTGATAACAAAGACGTTAAATTTGAATCCCAAAGTGGGATTTTTCAGCTGAGAACATTAAATTTAAAAAAAAAATCAAAAATTGAGAAGTGGGAAATGCTTGAAATTGAACATACTGAAGTGGGTATCCGAATCTCAAATGGGTTTCCGGGAAAGCAAAGGATTCCCAATAATTCTCCTCCTCCAGCTTCTGATTCTTTAGAAAGAAAATCCACAGCTCGTTCTCGGAGACGACGCACCGCCACGCTTTGCACACGACGCTCAATTTCACGGCTCCTCGATCGAACGCCCCGAAACCCGCCGTTTCCGACGGAGAGCTCGAAGAAGAAGACGACGACGTTGACTCTGAACACGAAACCGTGCGGCTTGACACCAACTCCCACACTTTTCTGATCAACGTCGTCATGGTTTTCTTCGGCCCACAACGATTAGCTTCTTTCTTCTCAATTTTTGCTGTGGAGAACTTTCTCGGGAAAATTAGCCGAGAAAATTTTAGTTTCCATGGAAACAAATGGAAGCTGGGAGTTGTCTGGATTGGTTGGTACGTGCTTGGGGAAACTGAGAAGGCAAAATTGATTACGTGGGAGCTTGTTGTCGACACGTGGGAGCTACCAACGGCCAACTTCGAAGCTCGTACTCAAAATTTTCCAGGTTCTAATTACTCAACTTGAACCCTTTTATATAAGGAAGTCATTTTCCTATGGTTTTGCTTTGCCAATGATGCCGCCAAAATTTAAGTTTCCATTTTTAGGTGTTAAGAAGTAATTTGGTTACCCTGGTTATGTTATCGGATGTGGCAAGTTTTGTAATTTTATGTAAGGAGAGCATTTTTGTTGGATGTGGCAAAGTTTGTATTTCTACAAGTGCGATTTTTGCATAGTCCGAGATACTAAGTGTTATTGAATTTCCATGCATGGTAACTCAGTGACATATGTTGTGTAGTCGAGCACATGCATGACATGGTTGTTTTCATTCTCCATTCTTGTTGTGATTCTTATTGTGTGAACATCGATCTAGTTGTTATGGTTTTCTTGATTCTTTTTTTCTCACCCGAGAATATTCTTCAACAAAAACAATATTTGAATAAGCTCGGCCATTAAACTCCAACCACAATTCAATGAACAAGCATCAAGCATCATATACATTATTTCAAGATCAAAGAACACATTACCAAAACAATGGCATAACGTTTTCTCCAAGATACTAACACTCAATTCAATTATAACAACGAAAAACTACAACCAATTAAAACCCCATTCACAATTCTGACTTTCTTTATGTTTGACCGCTTGACATTCTTTTATGTTTGAATTGAGTTGCCACCAAGTCTTAAACTTTTCCAACAGAAAAAAAAAATACAAAAACGAAATTTCTAAGTAAACTCTCAATCCCTTGGCACTAATTTGAATTGAAATTATTTATATTTAATTCATAACAATTGAATTCCAAAGTGAGATTTTTCAGCTGGGTAGATAAAATTGAAAAAACAAAAGAATTAAGAAAAATCGAAAATTGAGAAGTGGGAAGTGGGAAATGCTTGAAATTGAGCATACCTTTCAAGAAAACACTGGATTCCCAAAATACTCTTATTTTATCCTGAGGAATCTTTTAACAATAGGGCTTTAATGAAATTTTATCCTGAGGAATCTTTCAAGAAAACAATGGAAACACTCTATTGAACCGTTAGATTTGGCTTTAATGAAATTTTGTGGTTTGAGATTCTGTGCTCTGTGATTTAATTTCAACCACAGAATTTCATTAAAGTCAAATCTAGCAATCAAGAAGATATCTTCATTTTTATTTTTTTTTTTGAAAAATGGGAATCCTCTTATTAAAGGGCCTGTTATCCTGATGAGTTTTGCGTTTGCCTACAATAAACATGATCAGAGGTTTTGTTCAAAACATGATTAGAGGATTCATGTTAGAAAACCGGATTGACATTTTTGCCCCCATTTTAACTGTTATTTATTTTTAACAAACAATATATCTACACTTACTTTATTTAGTAAAATGACGGATTTAGTCAGCATGGTCTATCTGCTTCTTTGATAAAAACCCTCCTAACGCTCTTACCCTACAACAACGTGGTCTATATGTTTTTCAAATTTGAATAAACTTTGGTATTCCTTTTAGTTTTAATCGTGTTTAAATTGAAGTCTTAATTTCGGTGGTTTGTTCATAATTAATGTGATATGCTGTTTTACTGTGTGTTTTATGTGTTTGTTAATTTATGGGAGTCTTCACAAGAAATGTTGTGCAAATATATTTTGCTTCTATCAAGTATATGATAATGTTACATTCATTCTTTTAATGTTTAATTTTGTAAATTTATTTTTTAATATTTTTGTCATAAAAATTCCCAAGCTTTTCTCAGTCGGTTTGCTTTCCTGAATTCTGCTTTTTCCCTTTTGCTCCCCGCGTGCAGATCAGCAGCTGCGCTGTTGTTGTTCTTCTTCTCCTCCTCCTTAATTCTTCCACTCCAAAAACGTCATTTCATCGTAACTTTTTCATACGACAACGACATCTCGCAAGGTCGGAGCCTGTAGATTCGTATCAGCTGAACCATCTTCCATCTGATATGACACCCACACCTCAAAATCAACTGTGCTCAAAGATTGGAGCCTAGAACAGTGACCCTTTTTTGGCGGAGTTTTGCTGATTCCGTCCAATTCCGCCGGAATTTGGTCTCGGCCCAAGAGAGAAAGTTGATCCTCTCCTAACGATCTTTCTACCTATACTTGAGTTCGTTGACCGAATTGAAAGTTTTTTTTTTGTTTTTTTTAGTTTTTGGTTTGAGGGTTTTTAATTTTTTGATTTTTTGTGCAGGTAAAGGAAGAACCCATAAGTGATATGTTCACTGAATGACTTGATAGGAGTGCTCTTCATTGGGTTAGAGAGGTTCGTGAAGAAAACTCTGGCTCGATCTCTCCGAAGACGAAAGCTGTGTAGCCGATTCATCCCCTCCGGTTTGAAGGGTTGAGGTTGTGAAGGTACGATCATCGACAATAAATCCCGGGTTATGGTGGAATCCCACCAAGAATTATCGGACGGCTGCGTCAGGACCATGCCACTGATGTCTTTCGCTGTCGCAGCATGTCCCTAATCTTAAGCTTCCCATTATACTAGCTCATTCTTTTTTAGTTTTTTTGTTCCTTTTCTTTTAGCATAATGTTAAGAAAATTTTAACGAAAAGCTCATGATACTGTTTATTTTAACGAAAAATTACATTTTTACACTAAAAAGTCAATTATTGTACTATTCAATTTATCCTTTATTTTGTCTATTTCGTTAAAACTCAAAATTTTCAAACATTTTTCATTAGTTTTCTTAATTTTAGTCGCTGAACATTTGTATTATATGCAGCTTATGTTGGGTGACATTGTGATTTCTGTTGAGACAGCGACAAGGCAAGCGGAGGAAAGAGGCCACACGCTTATTGATGAGATACGTGTTCTCATGGTTGAAGGATTTTTTTCGTTGGAGAACCGATTAATTCAGAGGGATGCTTTTTAGTGTAGTTTGATGACTTTAATCGCTGAACCCTCCTGCAGATACATGGGTTGTTACATTTACTAGGATTTGATCATGAGATTAGTGAGGAGGCCGAAGTGGAAATGGACAAGGGAGGAGGAGGAGCTCCTTTAAAGAGTCTTGGGTGAAAGGGGAAATGATTAATTCAAAGTGCACATGATGCCGAAACTTACACAAATTCCTATGAGGAAAAACCAGATGGTAATTTCATCTTTTACAGCTTCAGTTTCACATTATTTGTCATTGGATTTGCTAATATAAGTTTTTAGTGAGATAATCTTACTGGTGAATTGTTAAAAGGAAGGAAGAGAGAAGGCAACCTGCGATTCTATAAACCAAAGTTATATACATTTTCTGTGTATGGATGGTAAGTTGGTGGTTAATGTAATCTTGCGCCTTCACTGTGCTTTTTTTTATTTTTATTTGTTAGATGATCAATTGATGTATTTTATGACAGTCGATCTGCAAGATGTAAAGATGATTTCTTTGTTTATGTATACTGTTTAATTATATCAATGGAAATTGGTGCTGCCATTGTGGCAGTAGATGAATTTCTGGCTTTTGAGATGAAGTACTATAAAATTTTGATTTCTTTTTTCTTTACATGCTTTGCTTTTAATTTTGCAGGAATTCTCACGTCGCTTTGATTAAGTTATACATGGCCATGATAAGGTATTGCTCATCAGCCTCATCCCCACAAACATTTTGTACATGTGTGACATTAATATATTTTGTTTTCCGATTGAATTTGTTTTGATTCAATGGGGTTGGTGAGCTAAACAGCAAGTGGCTTTTTAATCGTGTTTAAATTGAAGTCCTAATTTCGGTGGTTTGTTCATAATTAGTGTGTTATGTTGTTTTACTGTGTGTTTTTTTATGTGTTTGTTAATTTATGGGAGTCTTCACAAGAAATGTTGTGTACGAAGATATTTTGCTTCCGTCAAATATATGATAAGGTTACATTCATTCTGTAATATTTAATTCACTTTTCAAATCCCCGTAGATAAATACATTTAAATTGTATAAGTCGCGCGTAGAACGTCGTAATTTTAAAAAGGCCTTCTGCACATGCGTGAGCGCCTGCAGGGAGGCTAGTTATGGATAATAGTGATGCTAAAACATTGAATAGCTATTGTTAGCCTTTTGAAAAATATTGTTAATGCATAAGGAGGCTAGAGATGCTCACCGTCAATGATAACAAAATCAAGAACTTGAACTTGTTGACCATAGATACCCATGTAGGACAGCTGAGGACTCTCACCGGAGAACGTTCTTCAACAAAAACAATATTTGAATAAGCTCGCCCATTAAACTCCAATCACAATTGAATGAACAAGCACCAAATAGCATATACATTATTTCAGCACCAAATAGCATATACATTATTTCTACACTTACTTTATTTAGTAAAATGACGGATTTAGCCAGCGTGATCTATCTGCTTCTTTGACTAAAACCCTCATAACGCTCTTACCCTGCAACAACGCCGCCTTTAGGCCGCTCCTCCGCAAGTTTTTCCGAATCGCCGTACGTCGGTCTTCTCCATTGACTTATTCCTCAAGACCTCACCATCAAGTATTCAAGGTATGGATGTGTATTGATCTCAAGTAAATCATCCCCACATCACCCTTTTCTCAATCCACAAGTTTTCGCGTCAGGGGAGCAACCCACTGCAAGATATTTTCGTAGATTTCGTTTTTTTTTTTGGGCCGGGGGGTCGGGGAGGGGGGAGCATCCTCCATCTCTTCAAAATTAACAAATTCCATCACTTGGGGGTCAGAATCAAGATATAAAGATGGTGGGAAATGGAAGAAACCCGAAGCAAAATTGGGAAATTTGGGTCTGCTCTTTGAATGCCTCAGAGAAATTAGTTGAATTTATCTGTGAAACTGTTGTTTTTTGTTCCTAATGTGCTATTGAAAGCTCTGGAGGCAGAGCACCCAATAATCGACTCCAATTTCCAGACGAACACAAGGTCATCTTGTCTGCAGGTTCTTCTCTACCAGGTCAGCATCTATATGTCAATGCCGGGTGGCTGGAAGAGGCGGAAGAGCTCATCATGTCAATGCCAGAAAAGCCTAATTGGGTACGGACACATGGTGACCTGACGAGAGGGAACCTTGCGTTCAAGCACTTTACTGAACTGAACCAATGTCTAAGATTGTTGGTCATTGATGAAAATGAAATTGGAACTCCTTTCTTTACGTTGGAAGACTGCAAAACCGCAAAAAAGGGCAATCCTCTCATGGACATGCAATACTCTTGATACGTAAAGGGGCTTTCGGCACAAATTAATAAGAGCATACACCAGTGCAACTGAGGTTTGGAGAACGACTCTTAAAATATACGAATTATTCATCATCATGACATATAAGATAGCTGTACAATTAACCGGAAGATTTGTTACTGATAAATGTATTTCCAGTTTCAGCATGTTCCTCTCTCTGCTCTCTTTGGGAGGAGGTTATCAGAAAGTTACTCACCCTTGGTGTCTGCATAAACTCAAGTCTGGACTTGTGCCGGAACTGGTTCATGTGTCAAGCATGCACGCACCAAGGACCAAGTCGCTCGACCTGCTGCATGGAGAAAGCTGGAGATGATCGGATAATTAATGTTGAAAGAGTATGGAAAACTTGCAACATGAAAGTTGTAAATGGATTGCATGCTGTGTTTTAACACATTTTTTAGACATTTTGATTTAAATAACATTAAACTCTTGATGTTGTTTGAAACTGGAAGTACCTGGATCTTCAGAGCATCGTATAATCTATTTTTAGGCAAGGAATGTGGGATATTTTAGGCCAGTATCGTCCTTTTCCAGGTTGACATCTTTCTTTTTGTAAAGGACACCTGACGATCGAAAGTAACCCAAGTGAAAGAGGCAGGCCCTCTTCTGGAATCGATGCTAGCTTTGGACAATCTTCGAGGCTCAGAGTTTGAAGAGAGGTGAGGAATTGAATGCCCTTGCTGATTTTGTTCAGATTTGGGAAGTCATAAATTTCGAGTTCAGTGAGGGATTTGGGGAGCAGCATCTCCTCCTTCCCATCAGGTGGAAATGACAACACATCTGGATCTTCACTTCTGATCAACAACTTTCTAAGAGAGGAGAGTTTGTGCAACCCCCAGTCCAACTCCCAGAGCCGCTTACAACTCTTGACTTTATAAATTCCAAGTGATGTCAGGTTGGGAGGAGAGGAAGTCAAGATATAAAGATGGTGGGAAATGGAAGAAACCTGAAGCAAAATTGGGAAATTTGGGTCTGCTCTGTGAATGCCTCAGAGAAATTTAGTTGAATTTTATCTGCGAAATTGTTCTTTTTTGCTCCTAATGTGCTATTGAAAGCTCTAGAGGCAGAGCACCCAATAATCAACTCCAATTTCCAGACAAACACAAAGTCGTCTTCTTTGCAGGTTCTTCTCTACCAGGTCAGCATCTATGCATTGCAATAATATACTCTATATATATAGATGTATGTATACGTCTGCAAGTTTGTTTCAATCTTTCATTGTACTAGATTTTCCTGTAAGTCTGGTCAACAGGTGCTTAAAGTTTTGAATTTCATGTTTTATTATTCGTACCACTTTGTTATAAACTTAGGATTTAGTGATTGGCTTAATCACTATTAGGAGTTTAATATTGGATTTGTTAGGCTTTTCTTGTTTTTAGTGAAGTCTGTTAGAAATGCCAGCTGGCATTAAAGGTAAAAGTCTATAAAAGGGAGCTGAGCTCCCTGAATTGTATCAGATCAGAATTTACAAACAGAAATACAAACCAAAAAATATATTGGAGCCCTTGCTCCCTTCTACTTCATCTTCTCTATTTGCCATTACTTTCGCTGCTTGCAGGTTGATTATGTCACACTTGGGTTCTGAGATTTGGGCTTTGTCACACTTGGGTTCTTTGGTATCTGATTGGTTGATTATGTCTGTGAACTTTTAAGGTTTATTGGGTGTTTAGTTCTTGCTTGTTCCTTTTGAGCAAGATTTGAATTTTTGTTTAGAGAATTGGGCTTAATTCAAAAACAGTTTTATAGAAAGGAGAATATGGAGTGCCCGGTGGCAGGAAGAGGAGGAAGAGCTTGTCATGTCAATGCCAGAAAAGCCTAATTGGGTACGGACACATGGTGACCTAAGGAGAGGGAACCTTGCGTTCAAGCACTTTACTGAACTGGAACCAATGTCTAGTGACAGATACAAAGTAGCAGGGAGTATGTTTGCCGACGCTGGAGAAAACGAAAGTGCAACTGAAATTTGGAAACTCATTGGAGAAAAATGAATTGGAGATTACTCGTGGGATGAGTTTCATCAAAATAGATGGTGCCGTCCATGAGGTTGTAGTGTGGACTATTCATCATAGCAGGCACAAAGAAATCTACATGTGGAGCAGGGTTCATAGATCGTTGGTTATTATGAAATTGAAATTGGAACTCCATTCTTTACTTTGGAAGATCGTAAAACCGCTAAAAATGGCAGTCCTCTCATGGACATGCTATACTCTTGATACGCAAAGGGGATTTTAGCACAAATTGATAAGGGCATTTACCAATGCAACTGAGGTTTGGAGAAAGACTCGTAAAATATTCGATTCATTCATTGTGGCAGAGAAAATAACTATATATTCACAATTTATTGAAAGATTTGTTACATGGTAGAATTCTTATGTAATCACAGTTATATATATATAGATAATATACAATGATAAATGTATTTACAGTTTCAGCGTGTTCCTTTCTCTGCTCTCTATGGGAGGAGGTTATCAGAAAGTTACTCACCCGTAGTGTCTGCATAAGCTCAAGTCTGGACTTATGCCGGAACTGGTTCATGTGTCAGGCATGCACGCACCAAGGACCTGGTCGCTCGACCCACTGCATGGAGAAAGCTGGATATGGTCGGATAATTAATGTTGAAAGAGTACGGAAAACTTGCCACATGAAAGTTGTAAATGAATTGCGTGCTGTGTTTTTAACACATTTTTTTAGACATTTTGATTTAAATAACATTAAACTCTTGATGTTGTTTGAAACTGGAAGTACCTGGATCTTCAAAGCGTCTCATAATCTATATAGATCACTGTTCTAAAAATCCCCTAGCGCCGCCTAGGCCCCGCCTAGGCGCTAGGCCCCAGCCCACCGCCTCGATTAATGCCTAGGCCCTAGCCCACCGCCTAGACCGCCTAGCCCGCCTAGGCACCCACCTAGGTTGCAACTCACTTAGACAGAAAATATATAACTTTCATTTTGCATTTTGTTTTTTTTCCAATAAATTGTAAGAGATTTGTTGCATACTTGAATGAACAAACATTATATCCTTATTTCACATGTTTTCATTATGTTCCAATACTTCATGATATATATATGCATTCTATTTTGTAGTTTATGATGAAATTATATATATTTCAAGTAGAAGCAGACACTTATTTACCTGAAATATGATAGATTTACTTAAATCCGCCTAGTCCGCCTAGGCTCCCGCCTAGGCCCCGCTTAGCCGCCTAGACGCTAGGCCCCAGCCCGCCGCCCGACTAGCGCCTAGCGACTTTTAGAACCCTGACATAGATAGGCAAGGAATGTGGGATATTTTGGGCCAGTATCGTCCTTTTCCAGGTTGACATCTCTCTTTTAGTAAATGACACCCGGCGATCCAAAGTTGCCCAAGTGAAAGTGGCAGGCCCTCTTCTGGAATGGATGATAGCTTTGGACAATATTGAAGGCTCAGAGTCTGAAGAGAGGTGAGGAATTGAATGCCATTGCTAAGTTTCTTCAGATTTGGGAAGCCACCAATTGTGAGTGCAGTGAGAGATTTGGGGAGCAGCATCTCCTCCTTCCCATCAGGTGGAAATGACAACACATCTGGATCTTCACTTTTGATCGACAAATATTTGAGAGACGTGAGTTGGTGCAACCCCCACTCCAACTCCCAGAGCCGCTTACAACTCTTGAGTTTAGAAATTACAAGTGATGTGAGGTTGGGAGGAAAGGAAGTCAAACCTTCCAAGTAGTCAATCTCCAATTCCTTAAGAGACGTGAGATTGCCAATGTCTTCCGGTGACACCTCCAATTTTCCGCAGTCCCAAACAATAAAAGCTTGAAGATTGGTGTGGTGGCATAGGCCCTCCGGTAAGGATTTCAGATTTGGACACGTGGTAATACTAATATATTCAAGACAATTATTAGTCTTGTCGTGGAAGAACCGGTCTGATGCTATTAACTCTAGCCCTTCACAATTCCGTATATGAAGGTGTTTAAGCGCCCTGTAAAGCTGGCCTCTCAGTGATAACGATGTCAGAGATGCACAATCAACTATCTCCAAGTGCTCAAGAGAAACAGAAAAAGAAGATGACGAAGAAACAACGAGCTCCTTCTCCTCCTCCACTAATGATTTAAATCTTCCACACCACCGTATCACTATTCTTTTCAGATTTTGGGGAATCTGATATTTTGCAATATACGTCAGAGAGGGACAGTAGTAAATATCCAAGACTTTAAGAGAAGGTGGCAGGCCAACATCTGGAAAAGAAACTAGACTTGAACAGTGGCTTATGTGAAGCTCTTGAAGAAACGACAACTGACGCAACCCCTTCGGCAGCTTCGAAAGACTTCCACAATAGTTTATTTCCAGATATTCAAGCTTACAAACTAATATTGGAACCTGCAGCAACCCCTCCAATTCTTTTCCGAGATCTTCAACAAGGGCAGAGTTGCTTTCAATAACCAAACGAACAAGAGAAATCAGGTGTGGGAAACATCTATCCTCTTTTTCCAGTGAAGACGTCAGCTCCTCACAACCACTAATCTTCAACTCCTTAATCTTGCCCAATCCTTTCGTAAGTCCCCTTGCTCCCAACCGCGGCTCCAAAATATTTGAAAGCCGCATGCTCTCTAATAACTTAAAGTCAACCTCTGCGCTGGTATGCACTAGCGCTTTGCAGCCATGGATGCTTACTTCACTCGCGTGTTCATAATTGGCAATTTCCACCACCAATTCCTCGCACCTATAAATCTTAAGCTTTGCTAACGAATTAAGTTTCTTCGGCAACTCGCCCTCCAGTTTAGGGCACTCTCTGATTGAAAGCACTTTTAGGCTAGGGAAAACACCACTTCCCTTATCCTGATCGAAGGGCAGCCATTTCTCCCATTGATACATAAACGAAAACTCAAGAATCTCTAATACTCGAAAAGGCAAGCTACCCTCTCCGTAGAATTCAGGACCAACGATTTCCACGGCAGTCATTCCCTCGATATGAAGTTCTTTAAGGCAAGGCAACTGTCCGACTGGTGGCAAGAGATGGCAACTTGCACAATTGTATAAGCTTACACGGACCATGTTAGAGAACAGAGGATCTCCAAACCACGATGAAAATTTCAATCCAGCATAACCCTTAATGGTGATCTCTTTGAGATTTTTAGGAGGTTTTAACATGTCAAGCACACCCAACTCCATTTCCCTCGATCCGCTCAAATTAGACCATTTCAGCTGCAATGAATCAAGCCTCTCCTTGTCTATTAACTTGGCCTCACTAGCATCCTTAGCATCAACCACATTCTCCAATCTTGAGAGGCACAATGTCCCTCGAAGATGCAGTAGGGACCCTATCTCTCTTATCCCAGACTGATCACTACCTTTGCCTACCACAAAATACGACAAGGATTGCAGATTCGTCAATCGACCTATATGCGGAGGCATTACGTCCAATCGATGTTGAAACGGATTCATTCCTTTGGAATTGTTGAGATGCCGCAAATTAATTAGATTACTCATGTTTGCGGGCAATGCCTCCAATTTTGTACAACCTTCTAATAACAATGTTTGCAGATTGCAAAGAGTGGTTGTTGATGGAGGCAAACTCTTTATCTGTGTATAAGAAAGGTCCAGATACCGTAGATTCCACAATTTACCAATTGAATTGGGCAGCTCAGTTAACATAGCCATTCAAAGAAAGCACTCGTAAGATTTGCAGTTCTGGCAATAGATCAAACGTAACCCTACGAGTTAGATAGTTATACCTTGATTGTGGAAGCGGCAGGAATGTCCTCAAATGTTTAACACTTGAAATGGCCTCAAATTTTTTAACCCCATCATGCTCACCAATAACATAAGACATATGACGAGCCATTGGATGCAAGTCATCATTTCCCTTATCCTCCAATGAAAAGCATATTTCAGCTGCAGCCCACCGCGCCAACTCACCAACGAGGTCATGCATTACATACTTATCATTGCTTTTGCTTGCCTTTTGAAATAATGACCTGGACAATAGCTCTTGAAAATAGTCACTGCCTACTTCTTCCAGTTGTTTCTTGTCCTCCACTCTTTGTTGAATCAAACCTTCTGCCATCCACAGAAGGATCAACTGCTGCTTCTCCCCGAACTCATAGGTCATTCGGAAGTAGGGAACAATAGGCGAAACACCGTTTCAAACTCGAAGGGAGATAGTGATAGCTCAATTTTAATACCGGGAGAATGCCAGTATCGTCTGATAGACTCCACATCTTGTTGTTTAAGATTGCCTCCCATTCTTCCACTTGTTTACAACGTAGAAGACCTCCAAGAGTCCTTGCAGCCAATGGCAATCCGCGGCATTTTGCAACAATTTTCTCCTTTATCAACTCAAACTTTTGCGGCCTTTTGGTAATGTCCAAGCGGGAATGCTGCACAAAGACTTCCCAACATTGATCATCTGATATGCCACCCAATTGATAAATAGTGGATCCCATCATGTTTGCAACATTCGTATCACGTGTTGTCACAACTAACATTGATCACTGTCATGCAATCCAATTGATAAACAGTGGATCCCATCATGTTTGCAACATTCGTATCACGTGTTGTCACAACTATCTTACTTCCTAATGCTCCAACACGAAAGGGGGACTGCAATTTTATCCACAAATCATAGGCACATGTATTCCAAACATCGTCTAAAACAATCAGAAACTTTTTTCCTGCTAGCTCCTTACTCAAACTTTCTTGAACTTGGTTGAATTCCTTGAACTCCTTTGCAAGACCAGATGTGGCGGATTCAAGAATTGCCTTTGTCACTCTTTCAAGATTGAAGTCATCCGACACAGATACCCATACTTTTAGGTTAAACTCTTTCGTTTTGTCATCATCAAAAACATGTCTTGCAAGTGTTGTCTTTCCCACTCCAGGCATACCGACAATGGCAACTACATGAAAGTTGATGGCACTGGGGTGCTTTCTTTTAAACAACAAGTCAATAATCTTCGTCTTGTCTGTATCCCTTCCAATCACAGGTCCTTCTGGTAAACGGGAACTTGGTGGCAAGTGCCATGCCTTAGCAGATGGCGTCCCCTCATTTAAACCAAGTTGTTTTTTCACTTCCAATATCTCATGTAGGCGATCAGTAATCTTCTTTATTTCTGACCTCAGGTTACAGTTAAATTTAACATCAGAAAAGCAAACCCCATACCTTGCTTGTGGTAGCCCCATATTTCTCCTTTATTTGGCGTCGCAACATCTCGGTTGAAAACTTGTCCAATATGTCTTCCACATCATAGGCCAAGTCTCTGAGATCCATCCAGCCACAATTTCACTTCTTGGTTAGTCAATTGTTTCTCCTCCGCGTCATTCAGCACTGCTCGAATAGTAGACAACATTGACTTCCATTTCTTCCAGCTCTTTGCCAACACCAAGTAGGCGTCTAAAGTAGCTCAGCGTTTCACGTGATGTCAACCTTTCAAGTAACACTTGAAGTAATCCAGAAATAAAAAAACCTCTCCCAGTGACATAGCTTATAAGAACTTCTTCAAGGATAGTGTATATTAACAGCTTCTTCAGGAGAAAGGAAGGTATCAAGATTGAAAGAGTGAAGTGAAGCAACCAATCCAAGAACAAGTAAGCAAATGTTACGGGAAAGCTTGAGCAATGTCAACCGTCGAACTGCAAAAAGGTGAAACTCGTTAAGAAAAAGTTACTGAAATTTCTAGTTTTGTTGTCTCACCGAATTTTCTCAAAGCTTTTAGTATTTACTGAATAAAAAAATTTATGATTTATGTCCTAGTTACAAGCTCAGAGATATGTCTTGAGCATACCAATCTAATTGGTCTCGGGATTGTTTGGAGGTAGATGTGCTTTTGTTTTTTTCACATAACTTTGTAACACTTTTTTTTGCCAAAAATAAGAGCCAGCTATTCCCGTACCAACTTCCATTGAAATCATAAGAAGATGGTTTATGAAATCATGACTAGTTATACATAGACTTAGGATTGGGGGGGACTCCCAGGTTTTGAAACACACTTTGTAGAAGCCTGTTAGGATTTTGCTCGTCGGTATTAGAGTCCTATTTTTGTTTAGGATTGTATTAGAAAAGCTAAAGATGCACAGATTCTTGTCTTACAAAGACTAGGAAAGAATTAAGTTTCCTTATGCAATTAGATTAGGAATCCTAAAAGCAGAAACGGAATAGGAATGCAAGTGTGCTTTCCTATCACAAATAGATTAAGAGACTTAATCGGAAGATAGGCATGTAAACAGCACCATGTACTTACAAATAAGGTGAGGCCAGAAGCAGAAAAACTAAGACAAATGAGAGAAGAGAGGGAATGAGATTAGTTCTATGGTTTGCAAAAGTATTGTATACTCTATTATTAATAAAATAAGCCATGAGTTCTCTATCTAGAGAAATCACAATTGGACGTAGGCAAAAGTTCTGCTGAACAAGGATAAATATTGTGTGTTTTTCTCTATTTGCTAAGTTTAGTGTACTGTCAGATACATCAAAGAACATAATCTAGAGGGGAGTTCAAATTTTACAATTGGTATCAAGAGCTTAGGTTCAGGTGTTCTACGATGGCAAGAGGAATGAAGACAACAGGCTTAGGAAGCTTAAGGCATGCATTTAAACATTTTGATGGTAAGGATGACTTCACGGATTGGGAAATGGTGATGAATAATGTATTGATACATCATGATTTGGATGATGCAATCCTTGGTGAGAAGCCTACGACCATGACATAAGCGACGTAGACCAATATTCCCAAGGCCAAGAGTTCCATCGAGATTCATCTCACGAAATCAGTTAGGTCCTATGTTACATAAACGATGACCATTAAGGAAGAATAAGACAAGTAGGAGAAGGTTTATATGGGCAAAACCGTGTCCAATAAACTGTTTCTCAAGAATAAACTATTCGGGCTTTGCCTAGAAGAAGGAAGTGATATTGAAGATCACATATTCCAGAATTGCTTAGCAAATCTTCAAAGGTTGAAGAAACTTACAAAGATAATGATATGGCTATCATCTTACTAAGGTCTCTACCCTTGTCTTTCAAGCACCTTTGAACAACTCTAATATTTGGACAGGAGTTCCTGTAGCTTGAGGACGTAATTTAAGCCATTCAGTCATATGCTAAATTGGATGAGATAAAGGCCTTTATTCCAAAGGCAATGAGAGAGGATGGGAAAAGACAAAGGAAGAGAATAACACCAACAAGTTGGTTGAAATCCAAGAAGAAAAAGGAAAAGAAAGAACGCTGCTTCGAATGTGGTTTTGCTAATCATTAGAAGATGAACTGCAAGATTTGGAACGAAAAGAAAGACACGATGGAAGGAATATCATGTTTAGCTAGTATAGTCACCGAAGAAGAGAGTGACAAAAAGCTTCTTTCGATAACATAGGGCTTCAAGGCTTTCAGAAGTTGGATATTGGAAATCCGACACACATTCCATATGTATGAAGTAAGAAAATGTTTCGATACCTACAAAGAGGTCAGTAGCAGAAAAGTTTTCATGATGGATGATTGGCCATGTCTTTTAGAAAGATCGACACTGTTAGATCAGGATGTTTGATGAAGTGTTACGGGCTTTGAGAAACATCAGATATGTCCCTAGACTAAAGAAGAATTTGATCTCCTTAGGTATGTTAGACAAGATCGGCTATGAGTATAGTTCTAAAGTAGAAAGACTTGAGGTGACCAGAAGATCATTAGTGGTAATCAGGCTGACATATAATACAATAACTTGTACAAGCTCATTGGGACTATGATAGCAGGGGGTGCAACCGTTTCCACAAAGCATAATAAATAAGACAAGACTGAACTCTTTCATTACATGCTAGGGCATATTAGTTAGAAGGGTTTGCAAGAATTACAAAAGAGAGGCCTGCTAGAAGGCAATTCATTTTGCAAACTATACTTTTATGAGTATTGCGTTATCGGGAAGCAAAGAAAGTATCATTGCATATACCAGTGCAGATAACCAGAGTAAGGAACAACTTGAAGAACATGTTAACCAATGAGTTTGACATGAAGGATCTACGTTTTGCACAAAAATTCTTGGCATGGAAATTCAGGGAGAAATGACCGGTGGTAGGATTTGGATATCACAAGCAAAGTATATTCAAAAGGTTATTGAGAAGTTCAACATACTTGAAGTAAAGGCAGTTTCGACTCCTTAATTTGGCGGCTCACTATAGTTAAGTGGCCAACAATGTCTTAGGTCTGAGAGAGAAACAAGTGATGGAGAATGTGCCCTATGCTAATGGATTATGTGTTACTTGAGAGGTTTTTGGCGACATAGGATTATGTTTAAGAAGCAAAAAGTAAATCCAGGAATGGAGGGATATGTTGATGCCAAATATGCAGGGGACTTGGACAATAGAATGTTAACTTCTTGTTATGTCTTTGCATGCGCAAGAGGACCAATCAGCTGGAGGGCACTACTGCAACCAATAACTTTGTCAACTACAAAATTAGAGTACACATATTGCTCTGACCGAAGTTGTAAAGGAAACAATTTAGCGTAGTGGCTTTGCAAGCCAAATGGGATTCACTCAAGATTACGCAAATCTAAAATGTGACAATGTAATTCACTTGGCGTAAAGAATCATGTTTTTCATGGAAGATCAAAGAATATTGAAGTGACGTCCCATTTTTAATTCTTACACACCCTTCTCAAGATAATGTCGACCAAGAAATTCAAGTTTTGCTTGAACTTGATCAATCTAGTTAATTAATTAAGGTGGAGCCCCTCCTCACTTGAGATGCAATGAGACTGATAAGTGGTTTTCCAAGGTAAAGGTTATAAAAGATTTCTAGAGCTACTTCAAGAAGGTTTGAAGATAATCTAGGTGTGCAACAGTCAAGACTTGGGTTGACTCACTAAAGTGGAGATTGTTAGGATTTAACTCGTCTATGTTAGAGTCCTATTTTGTTTAAGATTGTATTAGGATAGCTAAAGGTGCACATATTCTTGTCTTATACTGATTAGGAAAGAATTCATATTCTTGTCCTATATGGATTAGGAGAGAATTCAGTTTTCTTGTACATCTGGATTAGGAATCCTAAATGCAAAAACGAAATGCGAGTGTGTTTTCCTATCCCAAACAGATTAGGAGACTTAATTAGAAGATAAGCATAGGGTGCAGCATGAAGCAGAAAAACATAGAGATAGCCGAGAGAAGAGAGGGATTAATTATAGGCTTTGCAAAAGTATTCTATACAATATTATTAATCAAACAAGCCGTGATTTCTCGTCCAGGAGAAATCACAACTAGACGTAGACAAAAGTTTTATTACCTAATGTAAATCTTATGTGTTTCTAGTTATTCTCTATTTGCTAAGTTTAGTCTATTGCTGGATACAACAAAGAACAAGATCTACAGGGGTATCGAAATCTTAAAGGGCTCACTCCGTAACTTTATTCAATAATCCAAACCATCTATATTTCAATTCATCATTTATTAATCATCATTACAAAAAATTATAAAAACCTAAATCATTAAGACGTTTTTTTGTAGAAAAGTAAATGAACAAATACAGTTATGCAAAGAGTACTAAAGTGAATATCATTTAATCTAAACGTTAAATATTGTTTCGGATTTAAGTGATTTTTGGTAAACACGGTCTTTGAGGAAAGACAAAAAAAAAATAAACGGTTAGATCGTTGACAAAAGTTAATGTCTCTACAAATGAGTGTCAAATGTGTTTAAAAAAACAGATATCCCGATCCTAATTCTACACACACACACACACACACACATATATATTTACACAAAAAATTTCATGACAAGCACAAGGAAACAAATTTTATTTTATTTTTTTCTTTTTATGAAAGGTTGTATCAATTCCCCCAAAAACGTATAGATCGTATCAACTATCAAATTCCCAATGGATTTAGGACCAAAGAATCCAGCACAAAGAGTAAACAGAGAAAGGCAAATAAAAAAAAGGACAAAATACTGATATAGATTCATATTAAGGTCATGTAGATTTGGATAAGGAGTAAAAAGACAATACCTTTAAAGGAAAATTCACACGGGATTTGTTCTTCTTGAAGATGGAGAAACGCATGCTCTGCTGCAATAGAGTGATGTCTTATTAAAGAGAGCTTAAAGAATGTAGTAGGAGGGCATGTTATGGATTGTGACTGCTTCTAAAAGAGTTAAAAAGCATTTTGGGACAATAAAAAAAAACTTCAATGACGAGTCTTTGGCTACTTTTGGAAGAAGAGTTAAAAAGTGTTTCTGAGTCACATAAGTGTTTTTTAGAGGAATACATGATAGATGCTTCTTCAAGAAGCACTTCCAAAGTAATAAACACTTGATTTTTTTATATATAAATTCAACGTTAAAGTCTCTAATAAACCCACACTTCTAGCAAAAAGTGTTTATAAGTTATTCCTATACAACCAATTCCAACTTCTTTATGTTGTTGAAACCCCCATTTCAAGTGCTTCCTATATTCAAGCGTACTTCCAATTTTTGTCAAACAACATGCTTTTACTCGTATAATAACTAATAAGCACTAATTATGCCAAAAGCACTTCCAATAAGACCGTAAAAGCGATTGAAACAAGACCTTTCATTATCATATAGGTCAATCGATTTTGGATATTTTCCAGCATTAGAAAAAGAAATGCAACTCATAGCCTAAATATTTTCCATGCAAATTTGAATAAGCAAGAATTCATCCATATTATTTCAAATTGTAAATTTTATAAAATGAAATAGATTACCCATGCCAAAAAAGCACTTACATGGAATGGAAGTATGGAAGTAGAGAGATGAGAGATGGCTCGCTAACAAATCCGGACCGAAATTCAAGGAATAATAACGTGCATTTTCGTCTTTTGCTTTATATCATAACAATTTCTAGCTCCTTTATTTGCAGCCTACAGAATCCCTTTCCACAACACTTGAAGTAATCCAGAAATAAAGACCTCTCACAATGACATAGCTTATGAAAACTTCTTCTTCAGGAGAGTGTATATTAACAGCTTCTTTAGGAGAAAGAAGGTATCGAGATTGAAAAAATGAAGTGAAGCAACCAATGTCAACCGTCAAACTGTAAAAAGTGAAACTCGTTAAGAAAAAAAGTTAGAGAAATTCTAGTTTTCTCGTTTCACTGAATTTTCTCAAAGCTTTTAGTATTTACTGAATAGAATATTATGGTTTCTTTCCTGGTGACAAGCTCAAAGACATGTCTTGAGCATGGTTTGTGGGATAATAATTCATGACATGCACAAGGAAATAAATCCCATAGGGGTTTGGACTAAGCTCTAATTTTATTTATTTCCTTTTTTTTATGAAAGGCTGTATCAATTCTCTAAAACAAGTATAAGATTGTATCAATTCTCCAATTCTCAATGGATTTAGGGTTTAGCATCAAGAATACAAATGGACCAAAGAATCCAGCACAATGAATAAACAAAGAAAGGCAAATAAAAGAAGGACAAGATATAGATATAAATTCATATTTAGGACATGCAGATTTGGATAAGGAGTAAAACGACAATACCTTTAAAGGAAAATTTATACGATGCTTCTTGAAGATGGAGAAACACCTGCTTTGCTGCCTTAGAAAGTGATGAAAGAGTGCTTAAAGAATGTTTAAAGACAGTTTGGGCATTTGGCATATAAGAATTGGTTAAGCACTCTCATCAAAGCACTTTCGGATATTTCAAAAACACTTTTAAATAAGTCCTTGGATATCTCATGTAAGTTTTTTACATGGAATGTAAGTATGGAAGTAGAGAGATGAGAGAAGGCTCGCTAACAAATCCGGACTGAAAATTGAAGGAATAATAATTTGGTACTTTCTTTTGCTTTATATCATAACAATTTTCCTACTTCCTTTATTTGCAGTCTACGGAATCCCTTTCCACCATACTACTCCATCTATTCATTCTTTCTTCAAACTTGCTATTGGTATACATTCTTGCTTCAAGTAGCAATGAAAGCATATCCTTTGGCCTTCCCTAGTAGGTTTTATGTTCTTGCGTTTGATTTCCGTAATATTATTTATTTAACGGTGTGAGTTTAACAATTTTAGTAATCATATTTTATAAAAACCAAACTAGTGAAACTCGCATGTTAAAAACTCAACAGTTGAAATCACTATGTTGGACATGAATTTTTCGGCCTGCCGTGTTAGTTTGATTCCAACTTTAACCATCACAACGAACGAAGTGTTATCTACTTCATTAAATCTTTTAAAGGGAAATGTTCTCTTGCAGAATGTGTTAGGAAACAAAAACTTATTTGTGTTATCGTACAACAAAATTAAACAGATTCTTATCTTAACGTGTGGTCCAGATAAAACATTCAATTCCTTCAACGTGAAATATGAACTTGCTTTATTTATAAAATTTATCGTAAGATTATAGATACATCGTAGGATTCTTCTTATTCAAGGACGATTATAGTTACAAATAAATAATTCCAATTTCGGCTTGTTCTTGAAAAGAAACTCTCTGCTCGAATCACATACAGGCTGCGACAGTGCTGTTTGATCCAACACCATATCACATACAGGCTACGGCAGTGCTCGAATATAAACCAGATTATTTTTCACCACATAAGCTTGATTTTGGACTTCTGCCGGAACTGCTTCTTTGTCATGCACCAGGGGCCGGGGAAGGTGCTCAGCTGCATTATTTCCAGGTAAATTACAGCAAGCAAAACGTGAAACTCTGCCGTAAAACTTACAAGTCACTTGGAGAAGGCCGGATATATGTTGTTCTATAAGTGTATGCATGACTTGCAATATGAAAGTTGCAATGGAAGGATTATATATACTCCAAGAAATCAATATTCTTCAAAGAAGTGTTTTTCAAAGATGTTTTGCAATGTCAATTTTTGAAATGTTGTATGTTTGAGTCGTAAGTCATAACACTTCGATAATGACAGAGCTTACATTGCTGATCATCTTGGCCCCAAACCATGCTGAATCTGCACCATATGGAGGGGGAACGACCGTGATTCCATTAGACACAGATGGAGGGAGAAGTCCGTGTAATTCCTTCTCTAACCTTCCTGAATATAAAAATATATATTGACAGATAAAGATGATAAACTTTGTTGGCCCAGAAGATTAGTATGATTCCCAATTCATATTCCATTATTTATCAAAAAAGAAACGGAAATTTTACTCGTAATTGAATGATACCTGCGAGTCCTGGCAAACATGCGGTGCCTCCTGACAAAACTACTGTCTTGAACCAAGCATCGTCTCCTGTTAGGTCTGCCGAAAGGCAATGTTCCATGCAAAGAGCAACTGCCTGGTGCAAACCCATAGTACGCCTACATGAAATATGACATTATAAGTTCCAAACAAAATTTCCCATTGAAATTCTGTTTTCCGAATAATCTAACTAGTAAAATTTGGAGAGAACATGATTACCAATTTTACAAGACATGCTCAAGATCAGACCTGAACCAACCATAGGCATCAATTTGATGAACACAGCACAGAGTCGATACTTGTTTAGGAAATGGGTGCTAGAGAATTTACTGGTTCTCAAAATGGGGAAAGGGAGACCAGGAGAGAAAAACAGAGAGCAATAAATCTAAAAATTTCGAGTGGTGCTTACACTCCTGCAAGCTTTGGCTGGAATAAGATCTCTCCGGTTTGAAACCGCTCTTTTGAAATAGTAAACCAGCCTTGTCCACCAGCTCCAAATGATGCTTGTGTATTTTTTGATAGCTCAGCTTCATAATCCTCAGCAACATAACATAGTTTCTGAATAGAAGTCATCCAATAAGACGTGAAATTGAAAATTCTTTCTTTCATGATTTATCATACTAACAAATACGCATCTTTTTTAAGTTTCCACAATCCAATCCTTCAACCAGTAAAGCATAGGGCAAACTGAACCTCTTACCCCAGGATGTCGAGCTCACTTGGTAACTTCCTATTTATCATTCCACCAATAAATTTCCAAACAACTATGACATGAGAAGAAAGAACAAAAGCTAGAACTAGAAAAAGCCCTTTTTAAACAAACTGTGGCGTTCTGCTGGTCACATTAACACTCACGGATAGCATTCTACAACGATAAAAATCCAAGCTATACCTCTTTCACAGTTCGAACAGTGTACAGTGAGTCAAAATTGATATTGTTCTGCTGCAATAGCTCCCTAAGGAACCCTGTAAGCTTCAGTGCTCCCAATCCCATAACCTCCACACCCACCTTGCGAATAACTTTACCATTTAAAACTGTAAACACAATAGTAACACTTAAGTAAAAAAATTCAACAGTCCAAGCAACCAAAAATGAAGAAAACAAAGCACCACCAGAAATAAGGATATAAAATATTTACTGGAAGTCTGGAACGGAAAAGTAAAAAGCGTGCCTAGAACTACAAGTCACAGAATGGCAGCTAAAATGAGATGTAACCCGAAATTTGATTAATTGTGAAGAAAAAAAAAATACAACATAATTGTAAAAGAGAAACTATGCACATTCCCTACAAAAGCATTAAGTATGACCAGAGATCTTTTCAGTAGTTAATAAATCTGAAATCACGAGGAAGATGAAACGTAGAATGGCTTACTTGGAACAATAGAAGTGACCTGGAAACCAATGTTTACAACAATCCCTGAAGTTCTTCTTGCTGCATACAAAGCTAAAGTTGCCTGCAGTTCCAAAAGCAGACAATGAATACTGGACCTAGACTCAATTAACCCATTTATAAACTGAAAGATGCAGTTCCAGATGACATGACAACTTTGCACAATTGCAATGCATTTGGTCGGTTCTTCCCCCCTATGGTTTATGGACAACATATATATTATAATGGAGGGGATGAGGACAGTTTACCTGATTAATGGCACAGACAGCAGGGACATTCATGTCAAAAAGTACTTTGTATATAGCTTCTTTGAGCTGCCGTCTCGATGCTTTAGCAGATTCAGTATCTAGAAAAAAAATAAGAAAAAAAAATAGCACATTAGGTGGATGAAGACAATACTATATGAAGGATAACAAGACAGAGAATTGTGCAACTAATCCAAATTATAACTCTAGGGTAGCAGCAACTCACCATCATAATGGCAGATTGGTATAGACAAAACCACGGGCTGCGAAGATGGTTTCACCTGCATCCTAAGAAGAAACACAATCACGTATCAGCTATACCTGCTATCAAAGATTCAGAGGAATCGCAGTGAACTAGCATGCCACATGTTAACGAAGGCAGTGCAGTTTCTTCTATACTTTTAAACTGAAAAGCGGAAAAGTATCGCAAATGTGCTCACTTGTATTTAAGTAATTGAATATGCAGATTGAATAAAGAAATCTATGCAATTAACTAAGAGAAAGAGGATTGCATCAAGAAGAACGGCTACAAGCTTCTTTAACTATGAAGTTGCTTGACTAATAATAATGAAAACTAAAATGTAGGACACACCTGCTATAAATAGTCACAAAAAAATGGCGGAGTCTAGAGTACAGCGGCGACTCAACATTACCAAATTCCTGCGAGTCAGATCACTTCAGAACATTGTAGTGATAGACATAGCAAGAAAAAAGTAGGCAATCAAAAGTGACAGGTATAATGAAACAATCTAACAACCATGTGGAATGGAAGGTATATGCAAAAGAACTTCTTGACTGTGAGCTGAAATAAACATCTCACCAAAAAGGTTGCTGACCGGCCTGATGGACATGCATATTTGCTCCAACCAAACTTGCAATAGCCAGAGCCCCCTTCCCAAGAAATGTAAAGATAAAATGAGGAAACAGTTTATGTTGGAGCTACATAAACTGAAAGGTTGCTAACAAAACAAAATCATAACTCTACTCATTTTATTATGGATGGTAGATAATAGTGATACTAAAACATTGAATAATTATTGTTAGCCTTCTTAAACATAAATACTGTTACTGCATAAGGAGGCTAGAGACACTCACCGTCAATGATAACAGAACCAGGAACTTGAACTCGTTGACCATAAATACCCATGTAGGACAACTGGGGACTCTCACCTGAGAATGTTCTTCAACAAAAACAATATTTTGGATAAGCTCGGCCATAAAACTCAAAACACAATTCAATGAACAGACACCAAGCAGCGTATACATTATTTCGGCATCAAAGAACAAATTCACTAGACAAGTCCATGATTTCCTCACCAAAACAATGGCGTAATGTTTTCTCCAAGAAACTAACACTCAATTTCAATTATCACAACGAACAAATACAACCAATTAAAAAGCCATTCACAATTCTGACATTTTTTATGTTTGACCACTCGAAAATCACACCTTTACACAACTTTGCCAAAAATAAACAATTTCTTTCAGTAAAAATTCCAATCTTTACTACCACTAATAATAATTTAAATTAAAAAAATTATTTAATCGTTAAATATAGACTTTAGAACTTATGAACTGAGCTGCCGCCAATTCTTGAACTTTCCCGGTAAAAAAAATCACAGTAAGCTCTCAATCTTTTAACACTAATTTGAATTCAAATTATTTATATATAACTGATAACAAAGACTTTAAATTTGAATCCCAAAGTGGGATTTTTCAGCTGAGAACATAAAATTTAAAAAAATTGAGAAGTGGGAAATGCTTGAAATTGAACATACTGAAGTGGGTATCCGAATCTCAAATGGGTTTCCGAGAAAGCAAAGGATTCCCAATAATTCTCCTCCTCCTGCTTCTGATTCTTTAGAAAGAAAATCCACAGCTCGTTCTCGGAAACGACGCACCGCCACGCTCTGCACACGACGCTCAATTTCACGGCTTCCTTGGGCCCCACCAGTCTCGCGATTTGCATCAGTAGGTCTGTCGGCACTCGATCGAACGCCCCGAAACCCGCCGTTTCCGACGGACAGCTAGAAGAAGAAGACGACGACGTTGACTCTGAACTCGAAACCGTGCGGTTTGACACCAACTCCCACACTCTTCGGATCAACGTCGTCATGGTTTTACTTCGGCCCACGACGATTAGCTTCTTTCTTCTCAACTTTTTCTGTGGAGAATTTTCTCGGGAAAATTGGCCGATAAAATTTTAGTTTCCATGGACACAAATGGAAGCTGGGAGTTGTGTGGATTGGTTGGTACGTGCTTGGGGAAACTGAGAAGGCAAAATTGATGACGTGGGAGCTTGTTGTCGACACGTGGGAGCTTTCCCTGCCAACTACCAACGGCCAACTCCGAAGCTCGTACTCAAAATTTTCCAGTTCGAATTCCACATTTTTGTATCGTGATCAATACCGTTTATATTATTAATCGTTTTATAAAGATCATATCTGCGAAAATTGAATTAAAAATAAAGTTGTTAAGTTAATTTATTGTAGCAAGTATATAGAAGATTCGTAATTTTTGTACTAATTTTGTTCATATATTTTATACGCAATTAAACGATCTTAGTTTTAATTAATTTTATTCAAATGCGATTTTTATAGAGTGATTTATAATATGAACGTTCAATCATAAGCACAAAATTCTGTGAATTGACAAGTGACAACGAACAGTTTTGAGTATGAACTCATAACCATCTTTTGTGTAGCTAAATATTATTCATTTTAACAATGTGTAACTTATATGTACATAATGTTCTATTTGAACTAAAGATGACATTTTATCATAGTAACGAAACGTAATGATGCATACAGATCTTGAGACGTGTTTGGTTTACCCCAATCTACTCCTCTAACAACTAACAATTTCTCATTGACCCTATCATTTGTCACGGAATTATTCTATTTGAATTAATGGATAGATTTGAAAAATAAAAAAAATCTAATCGTTAATATCAAAATATGCCTTCTAATTTTTATCTGTTTTTTTTTTTAAATGTTTGAATTCAAAAAGTTTTAGGATTTGAATTGGACCATTGATTGGCTTGAGCATGGAAACAATTCCAGTCAAGCCAAATTTCGTTTCTTCCTCAACTCAATTCTCAACCATCCCCAAATATTATGGGTTTTTCGTAATGGAGAACTAACATAAATTTTTCTTAGAACTGCGATTGCTAATAAGGTTTACCACCTGTTTATAATTAACTTTTTCACTATACGATACCTTAAAAGTGTCAGTCAGTGTAGAAACTGAAAAAAAATTTGGTCAAAAACAAACAGTGTAACCACACTAGCATAAAAGGTGAGTCTTAGCATAGCGAAAATGTTGTTCATTTGTGATTGATAAGTCATGGGTTCGAGTTATGAAAATAGTCTCTTTACAAAGCAAAGATAATGTTGGGTACGATAGACGTCCCCCCTAATTCTCGCCAAACAAATAGCCTTATTAGTTTGGAGTCGACCTAATCTATATTCAATACAATCCGCAAAATTCATCAACACAATACTACAACAAAGTCGCGTTAGATTATCTTGAGACATCGTGGCTTCAATGGAGAAATAGACACAACTTGGTAGTGTATCCACAGGTCGGCAACAAGGTAATGGTTGAATTATTGATTTTATACAATGTAGAAAACTATTTAGTAAGATCTGCACATAGTAGGCAATCATCTCCTCTATTTCAGCCATTGCTGCCATTTTTCTCTTTCAACTAGGCACAAAGCAAGAGCATAAGGAAGGTCAAGGTTTGTATTTCTGAGCCTGGAGAGGCAGCAAAAGGGTCTAAAACAACGGAGTCGATAAAACGTGACACACTAAGGGTAGAGATGTGCTGGTCATCACTAAAATGGTACGAAAGTCATAAATAATTAATAAAATATGTGTGACAACTTGAACCAGCGACTTCGTTTATTAAAAAAAACAACTAAATTAACATGTAACAAAATTCAACTACAACAACCTCCCGACTTAGAGACACAATAGGGTTCATCCCTATTATTACAAGTCACATCATGTTCAGAGCACAAAAGTAGAAAAGCATCAATATTCACATAATATTTTTGAACGGTGATGTTATCCACACACTTCTCTTAATTTTCGACCCTTGTATCAAATGAATTGAAGAAGATCAAACAATGGAAATAAACAAGGGGTGTCTGAATAACATCATACTTTTGATCAATAAGAAGGAAATTTGGGTAGTACGGAATCGTAAAATGTTAGACCATCGAAATGTTTTCTTTTTTTTCTAAGCTACTTAATACTACATTTTAGTGATGTTCCTTTTCACTTATAAGTGCGAGATTTTAGACCTGAATTTCGTGAATTGAGTTCGATATCAATTTTACAACCACTCAATGTAAATGCATTTACAGTTCTAAACACTCCCCTCTCTATATTATTATAATAGTTTCCAACTGAACCCTAAAAAAAATGTAAATATACCTTTCTATCAAAAGAAACAAAAATCCCTAGTACATAATAGAAAACAGACAATTGTTAAAAATGCAACCGACTAAGTGCATAAAAATACGACATCAAATACGATACAAATACTGTAGAAATACGAATACGCACACAACAAAGAAAGCACGTCCTTTTCGTAAGGTTCCCTTCAACATTTCTCTCTTTCGCACGGCAATCCGAAATTACCAGTGGATAGAGATAAAATAATATTACGCACTCTCTCACCTCTTTCTCTCTCTCTCTCTCTCCTCTCTTCTCCTTGGATCTGAACTTCTTAATTAGGGTTTGAGATTTCGGTTTCTCAATTTGGGATTTCCAGATCAGAACAGCTGCTCCTTCCGAGCTTCTCAATTCCCGGAATAACGAAAGGTGAAATTTTCATTTTTGCTGTTTAAATATTGTTCCTTTTTGTGTGAATTTCGATTCCCAATTGTGAATTTTAGGGGTTTTCTGATTGGTGTCTTCTGTCTCTTTTGATTATTCTGCAATTGTTTTGCCCCAATTTTCTTTCTTTTCTTTTTTTGTATATTTGATTGGGGGTTAGGGTAAATTTGTCGATTGTTGGGTGCACCTGTTTCAGAATTTCACCTTTTGTTTTATTTTATTTTAATTAGGGTATGTTCTTGTTTGATTTTTTAGCAGAACTACAAATTGGGATTTTTCACCTCTTATATTTCAATTAGGGTTTTGGTTGTTATTTTTATTTAAAAATTTTTGTTTTGCTTAATGTATGTATTAATTAATACATGCCCGCAGTCAAGTTGCTACAACCATGGAAAATTATGAATTTCATTTGCATTGTATGTGCAATGTTGGTGAGGGGAATAAAGGGAAAGCTTAATAATAAGACAACAATTGTCAAGTTGAACCCTTTTAAATAAGGAGGTCATTTTCCCATGGTTTTGCTTTACCAATGATGCCACCAAATTTAAAGTTTTAATATTTAGGTGTTAAGAAGTAATTTGGTTACCCTGGTTACGTTATCGGATGCGGCAAGTTTTGTAATTTTATGTAAGGAGGTCATTTTTGTTGGATGTGGCAAAGTTTGTATGTCTACAAGTGCCATTTTTGCGTAGTCCAAGATACTAGTGTCACACGATTCATGATATTGAATTTCCATGCATGGTAACTCAGTGACATATGTTGTGTAGTCAAGGGCATGCATGACATAGTTGTTTTCATTCTCCATTCTTGTTGTGATTCTTATTGTGTGAACATCGATCTAGTTGTTATGGTTTTCCTGATTATTTTCTTCTCTGCCGTTTATTTTAATCAGGTTTTTGGGGTTTTATTTTAGTTTCTAATTTTTATTGCCTAACGCATGTGTTAATTAAACATATTCCTGCAAACAAGTTGCTCCAAGCATGAAATATCATGAATTTCATTTGCATATTGAATTTTACGGCTTAACCTCGTATATTTCATAATTCTGAATAAATAGGTACATACAATCCTAGTTGTAAAAGGAAACAAATAAAGGACATATTATCCTTCCTAAGCAAGACTCTAATAATTACAGAATAATTACATTCCTTTTCTCCTAACTATTGACTTATTCCAATAGTTTTATTTGATTATCCGTTCATAGTTATAAGTGATGACACAACAACATGAGTAGTTGATTCCTTTTTTTCTTTTGTTATGTAATTATTTCTTCATTAAGTTAGAAGTTCAACCTCTTCGCATCTTGGTGTTTGCAATATATGTTGATTTTTAGTATGGTTTTGTATGCTAATTCTTAAGTAACTGGCTTGAATTTTTGTTGGTGTTAGCTGTGGCATTGTTGGGAAGAATATGTCCCATTACGCTGGTTATGTGGAGGATGAATACGAAATGGAAGATGTAGATGATGATATGGATGATGAGTTTCACGGTAGAGAAATGGGCGCCTCAGATTCTGATGTTGATGAATATGACTACTCGGTTTGTGATATACTTGCATGTCTTACTAGATTTGTCAAATATTCACAGCTTTAAGAAACTAGTCATGTCTAACACTATTTTATGTTATGACTTTTATACGTTCAAGTTAATTCAATGTTTGTATGAGCATTTCACTTTTCATGTTCAGTGTGGTTAGTTCTGTATGTAGCTGGGACTAATATATGGATCTCATGCAGAATAGTAAAGTAGCTGATACAACTGCTGCTCAAGCAAGAAAAGGAAAAGACATCCAAGGTATTCCTTGGGATAGACTTAGCATTACTAGAGAGAAATACCGACAGACTAGGTTAGAACAATACAAGAATTATGAGAATATCCCTAATTCCGGAGAAGGATCAGGGAAGGTAAATTACTATTGTTTTCCACTTTTTTTTATTGTTATCAAAATACTTGATCGCCACTGCAGTGTCAATTTCAACTGGGAAGAGTAACATGATGATTGCTTCTTCTTTGTAAACAGGATTGCAAAGATACAAAGAAAGGATCTGTATATTATCAGTTCAGACGAAATGCTAGATCAGTGAAATCAACCATTCTTCATTTTCAGGTGTGCTGGGTGCAAGCTACCTTATTCCTTCTTGGCTATTTTCTGCATACATGAATCTTTGGATGAAATTTTCTCACTCGGATATCATAGAATTGATAGGACTGATATGTTGTTGTTGTTGGTGGGAAAAGGCTTTGTTGTTGTTGTTGTTGGATATCATAGAATTGATAGGACTGATATGTTTTATCTTTGCTTGGTAATGCAGTTGCGTAACTTGGTCTGGGCTACTTCCAAGCATGATGTCTACCTGATGTCACATTTTTCTGTCATTCATTGGTCTTCATTAAGTTGCACAAAGTCTGAGGTTCTCAATGTTTCTGGACATGTGGCACCATCTGAGGTAAGTGTTTTTAGATCACTTTTGTTCGATAACCAAGTTTTTTTGGAAACTGATCTTTCTATTCTTCCCATTTAGAAACATCCTGGAAGTCTCTTGGAGGGATTTACGCAGACTCAAGTTAGTACTCTTTCTGTAAAAGATAAGTTGCTAGTTGCTGGAGGATTCCAGGGTGAACTTATTTGCAAGGTGAGTTGCTAATAATTGAATTACCTAAGCAAGCGAATACATTAATGAGCATTTATTGCACGGTTGCATACCTCTCATGGTGTCAACATGTCTTGATCTGCACTTATCAGTTGACCTTGTACATGGTTCACCTGCACCGTAGGGGTGGTGCCGGAACACACGTTATTTATTCTTTCTTTTAGCTCTATGGGTGCTACTCCATTCCAGATGGATCTTCAGGATGACTCTTGACCTTGAATCTTCTGCTATCAGTGTCCATTATATGATTGACAAAACCTTTGATAGTTGACTACATTCTGTCATTCGGCTGTCTCCACAAGATCCCTTTTAGTATAATTTTTTTTTTTCCCTTTGAAGCACTAATTAAGAGAAACGCTCAATGCTGACAGATTTATCTTATCTTTGACTGCTTTGCAGCATCTTGATCGGCCTGGAGTCAGCTTTTGTTCAAGGACAACTTATGACGATAATGCCATAACAAATGCTGTTGAGATTTATGACAGTCCCAGGTACTTTTTTTTTTCTTTTTTCTATTTTCCTCCATGAGATTGGGACTTGTCGTTTCCAAATTCCAATCATGAACCCAACTGATATGGTCCCTTTGAATTTTGCAGCGGGGCAGTTCACTTTACAGCCTCTAACAATGACTCTGGAGTCAGAGATTTTGACATGGAGAAATTTCAGCTTACTAAGCATTTCCATTACCCTTGGCCTGTGAATGTAAGTCTCCTGCAGCTTTTCTGGAAATGATTGGATGTTTAATCTCATTGCATTTGCTGGCATTTGTTTCATGTAGAGCTGGTTTTTTAGACCTGCAAGTGATATATGATAGTGTTTGGGCAGCCACTTTAAAACTACAAATTTGCCAACTACCTCATTTCATCCAATGCTGATTTTTCATTGGGTCATTTTTACTTGTGCTCACTTAATGCTTCCTTTAGTCAGTTTTACTTAACTTTGATGCACCTCTATGCGTTGTTGGTAGCAATACTTCTCTAGTGCCGTGATGGTAACTTCTTGTGATTGTGGAGGACATCCGGAAGGTATGTTTCGACGGTTATATCCCTAACTTAACTAATCTACAAATGTAGCGTGTCGTCACAGAACTTCTGATATGGAAGTATCTCAGTGATTTGTTCTATCTCTCATATATGGCCTTACTGTTCAAGAAGGATCTTTTCACTCTCAATTTATAATATTTATTTCACTGTCCTTTACGAAAGCTATCTCAACAGTGTAGAGAAAAGAGGTAAAGCCATGTTCGTGACTTTTCATACCCATTTTCGTTATTCGTATGAGTTGCGTTGTCAATTTGCAAGACTGGTAGCATATTGTCCTTTAATAGGAGGGGGCTCTTTGGATAAATAGGTTTCTGGAAACTCCTACACCTGTTTACTAAATGCAAGGGAATCAGCATTGGAACATATCCTTACATAGGTAATGTCTATATCTGAGATATCCTTATTGCTCAGAAATGTAGGTAGTCAAAAGGATTTGAATTGCAATACTAAGCTCATGGACACCAAACCAATAAAACATCTCTGGTGTTCCGGGAGATGGTGTGGGGCAGTTTTAAAATCGTACCCTTTACGCAATAACCGGGTAATTCAAACATAGGGTTATTCTACTCGCACCACATTCCTCTCTCGACTTGTTTTGGTGGAGGGGGAAACCTATGGACTGGACCTCATATGTCATGACGGTCAACCGGAAAGGTTCTTTGCTTACAGGTTCTTGGCTAAATAACAATTCTGAACAGAAATAGCAAAGATCACTAAGTATTATTTTATGTATGTGCTCAGAAGTGCACCGTCAGCATATAATGATAATCACATGCTACAGACCATCAAGAACCATTGTGCTTGATCAATAAGATACAGTGGTCAGCTGGATATCGACTAAGAAACAGAGAAAAATTGTTTTCCATTTAGCTGTGATGATTAATGGAATACTAGATATCATTCAGCGTCCGGACACCCGGAGTCTCCTTCTTGTATTGTGCAGATAAGTGGGGTGTTACGCTACGCCCTAAAGTCTGAACTTCGAGGTTCATGCCGAAGCTCGGAACTTACTTCTCCTATTACCGTTGACTCATCTTATTTAGACGACGACTTAGCATATTAGAAATGACTGCTGTAATAAGGTGTGGGTTGAACAAGATTGCTACTGATTCCTACAGAGTGCGCACCCCGATTAAGTCACTGGTATCATCACCTATATTTTTCGCGGATCTTCTCAGCTCACGCTTGGGGAATCGAGTGTAGAGGCAATGATGTAAAGTTGTTTTGAGTATTTAAATAAAGCATCGAATAAGATTATTAAAACATGTGAGGAGCATTTGTTTAGGAATCTTGTTGTGCTTCGCGGAATAATGTCACCAGTTAAGTTGCTACTTCCTTTCATTTTAAATCAGTAATATTGCCCATAAAACCAAAGCGTGTAATAAGTCGCGGTAAGGGGTACTGGTGAGCAAGAAGGAACCCTAAATAGACGAAAAGTTACAAGTCAAGCTAGTGTCACACACCAGCCGAAGAGATCCCGCCTGGTCAGGACACCCAATCCAAGCCTAGATTGGTTTTCCTAAAAGAAGAAAACGAATAGAGACTGGTAGACCTATTAACGGGCACAACGTCGAACACATGGCTTAATTTAGGGTTTAATATAGTCTGTGATTAACTGAGTTAGTTGAAGAGTCAACGATAAATATCTTCACATTAGGGCAATACATGTGGTTTAATTTTGCCTTGCTTTTAGACAAGATTTAAAAGTTCTCATAGCTATTTACATACCACCAAATGTGGGAACCACTTAGTAATATAGTGAGAAGAAAGAAAACCTAACATACATCAATCAATCTTGTAGAGTATCAGGGATTGTCTATAAGCGATCCCCATAGTGTCCTGGAGCCACTGCATCGTAGGATGAGTGACTTCAGACTATAAAACAAGAGTTGATGTAAAAATATGTCTCGGCAATGCCGACTTTCGTCCCCTCGGCTAAGGTTCTATGTCTGGTGAGATTCGATCCTTACGTCGACGATCAGCAGACATTTGAAGCACTCATGAGAATGATTGGTGGTCAGTAACTTGTTCTCTATTTCTCTTCTTGCTTCTCTCATTTCTGTGGCATTCTTCCAGAACCTCGACACCCATCATAACTCATCCAAATTAGGGGTCCTCTTGGGGTTTTGCGTTTTTTTTTTTTCCCGCATCCCCTACTTCTATTTTTTTTCCTTTAATCTTTTTCGTAACGTTTGGGGAAGAGCCGCTATCAGACAGGAGTCGATCGAAATTTGTAAATGAATATAATTATTACCGCGATACTACAAATATATATATCATAGCTGCATTGTTTTCTCTCCACACACATACTGCAACTACACTTATGATCTTTTAGAGTCAGATTCTACTTCTTCTGGACCTGATGATCCATAAATCTAAGTTCCTAAAGAAGTGTACCGAGGAAGGATGGTAGCTAGATGGTTTACTGGTCCACACCACTCTCTTAGATTATTTTAGTTGTAGTATTAAACCCGAGACTACGAAAGGAACTGGATGAATAATCATAACATGATCAGAATGCTATGACGCAAAATTAAAGCAGCGAATGTGTGTAAGAAGAGTTAATCAAACAGGAAGGTGTGGTTGAAGAGGGAAGCAAACAATGCCCAAATCATAGATAAAAAGATGACACTGATTGAACAACCAACAACCAATAAAAAAATACTAACAATCTTTATTACCAATTCTCTCCGACATTTGTTGTGGTAGGAGCAATCAAGAAAGTATGCAAAAAACATATGGTAAGATATACCACAATTAACAAAACTAACCTCACAACTAATAGCACACAAATAATCTAAATGTTTTGTACGAAAAGTGACTGGATTGGGGAAACGAGCGTGAAACAATTACATCTTGAACATTGAATCTAATGCTTACGAAGAATGTCAACGAATGCCTGAGTCATACAATAATGCAAAAATATACAACATATAGATCTATGAAGTAATAAGAATAAAACAGAACTGGCAAGATGCGCAAATAAAATCCTATAGTTAAATTCTGCCAGGACAAGGGGGGTCGCTGATATATATCCATCGAAACTCTACCTCACTGACAGCAAAAGATGCAAACACATACCAGATATCCACCAAAAGACAAGATACAAATCCCAATAGCTTTGGCTTAAAACCCCTAAAACGTAAAGAAAACCACCTTAACATTTAAACGATGAAATTGGTTCCATGTAGACGAGTATATTCGGATGAAACTCCCCCTTGATTGGCTTATTCCGTACGCTTGACAATTATACTAAGAAGGTCTGAGGTTCTCTGATTACCGAAGATATCTACCTCCCGATATTACCTCCTTGCTCTTTATTTGCCAAGTTGAAGGCAGATAACTGCTCCTTGGAGCGTGAGCAGGGGGGGATGAGACACAGAAGACCCAATTGCCTGAGAGCCAGAGAGAGAAGTATTAGTTGAGTCGAGCTGAACCAGATAGAAAATAGTGCCCTGCAGAATGGAATTAACACTGAATGAGAAGGTCGTTGTCTCACCTTTTTCTGTGTGCACCATTTTTTTTGATATGGAGACCTATTCCAACAATGACCTATGTTCTTAGGTTACTAAGAATGGCAATCTTTCATCGAAGGGAATAGAGATATTATGGATCGGGTAACATAGAGACTCAGATGGAAAATAAGCATGCTTAAGTTATGAGACTTATTTTCTGTTGTTTGATTGGAAAAAATATAATTTTCACTTAGTCCCTCATGCGCCCGCAGCATATTCATTGGCTTAGAAGCGGACCCAACCTTCTCTTAATATATAGCTCAAAAATTTTTATAGTTGATTTGTCATGTGAGGAGTTGTCCACGACCCAACTGGTAACGAATAACACTCCCAGTTTAAGAATAGCAGGAATAACCTCACCATGGTTACCATCGTGTTAGTAACAGAATAACATTGAACCACGGAAACATCTGTCATAGACAATCGGATTATATCCGTTATGCAGGCCTTGAGTAATTAGTCTAGCAATCATCTGTGCATATTTTCTTCTTTTCTGTTATTTACGAATTTGTTGAGGTTCTGTTTTACGAACTTTCCAAGTCTTACGTAAGGTTATAATTAAATACTTTAATGAGATATGTATCAACAAAAAAAATCTAAGGAACTTCAGACAAACTATGAACAACTACCAACAACTACATTACAGCGAATCATTCAAAAGCTAACTGTTTACACAACTACTTATCATGACTAGATAGATAATTGGTCAAGATCATAATATTTCTATTTCATAGAAGAGATTCTACAAAATAAACATTTACCCAACAGAATAGTCTTCAAAAAATTGAACCACCACTCCATGTATGTTTAGGTTTTACGATTCGATATTCCCATCACATCATTTTTCCCAATGCCTTTTAAACCTAAAATATCCAAAAATTTAACCAGCACCATATAAGCGACTATCCGTCAGAGACTATTTCAAACCACCTTTTTTCACACGAGCTACTATACCGAAATCTCATGCTGTCCCCTCCACAAAACCAAGCTCACACCATTTCATCAAAACTTCTCACAGTCCCCAACACCCTTTTCTCGTCTACAACCAAATACAATAATAGGCAGCCACCTCCCTCGTCAGCCTGTGGTTCTCAGTGCTGCCCCAGTCATCATTTCATTCAATAACCTCCATACTAGCACAGAACCTATATATGGCTAAAACTAAATTAAGCTACAAGCCGCGGATGTTTGAGAATTCTATGTGTGGAGTACTTGGGGACATGGGCATGATGGGTTTGATCAGCAACGAATATATCTAGAGGAATGTGGCCACACGAGCCGAAGAGACCCTCTTCACACAGGATTTCACCTTTCCTATTGAAAGTATCCCTCTAACACAAGGTAAATTCATGAAGCCCCTTCAGCAAGTTCTTGCGTCATCCCACTCCTCACTAGCTGGGTTTAACCTTGCATCCTCAGCATCTAGATGAAGCCGTTCA